CGTACCTCTGTCTTGGCAGCATTCTGCGTGGTGGAAAGTGCCAAAGACAGAGGATAGAAGAAGTAGAAGTAGAAGCTGGTTCCTCCAGTAGAAGCTGTAGTGGTCCATCTTTGCCCACCCTCTGCTGGACAGGCGTGCTAAGACGGCCCTACATTCTAAAGCTTGCTGCACTACTTCCGCTATGCAAGCCGTGCTTCTAACACTGCTGGACAGGCTGTATCGGCATTACACTCGATGGACGAACTGGATGAGGAAGGACAGGAATCCGTCAATTATATTGCGGATAGATTTGCCGAGGTTCAGAAGACATCACAGGCTATGAAGCACTTCTTACCAAAGCCCTCTAGCTTTGCAGCAGATCACCCAAAACAGCCGTCTACTCGAAGCTCCCAACCACCGCCTCTCGCCACCACTTCACAGTGCTGTCAAGCCTGGGACCAGAAACCACACTCTCGTTTTGCCGGCCACCAACCCCCTCCGCGTAGGCCCCGTCGAAAGAAAGAAAGAAAGACCGAAAGAAAGAAAGAAAGAAAGAAAGAAAGAAAGAAAGAAAAAAGAAAGAAAGAAAGAAAGAAAGAAAGAAAGAAAGAAAGAAAGAAAGAAAGAAAGAAAGAAAGAAAGAAAGAAAGAAAGAAAGAAAAAGTCATCATTTGTAACTGCACATGTTTAGATTAAGGAGTGTCCTGAATTTCCGTTTATTCGTATGGGAAAATTCAGTAATGCACATTTTCCACATAGACCAAAACAGTAACAGGAAAGTAATCGCCGAGACCAATTCACTCCTTCAGTTCAACAGGTCACTGTAGATCACTGTTCCACAGAGCAATGTTATGTGGGTGCAGATTTCCCTGTAATAGAGAGCCTGAGAGAGACCATATCGAAGCAGAAAGACCACAATATGCACAGACTGGTGGGATCCTATATTTTCTCAAGCGCTGTTCCCAAGCTGCTTCTTGTTTGTGGATATGCTTTGCAAGGTAAAGCAAAACATCCTACATTTGGCCGAGAACGCTGCTTTAGGGGTTTAGTGGGAAAGCCTAGATCTGCCATGACGGTAAAGAAAATAAATAAATGAAACCTCTCTGCACTCCCATATAAAGTCAGAGAAGTGCTACCGTGCCCTTAAAAAAAGGCCATGTGTTTATAAAATGGCTAAAGGGAATGGTAAAAATATACGGGTCTTGAGCACAACAGATAGAGATTAAATGTCAACGTGAATAAATAAAAAAAGGACTAAAATAGCTTATGCTAATTAAATAGGGAGACTTTCGCAGACAGTGGACAAATAAAAACAATCCATGGCAGGGACCATGAGAGAGACTTTATTCGATTTGAGTGGCCTTCTTTTTTTTAGCATCATCTGACCCAGGCTGGCTTTTATATCCCCCCATATACAAAATTCAATTCCAGGGTTATTTGGATATATTTAAATCCGTTGAAGAATGATACCAATTGTCTCTTGGTCTCTCAAGAGGGAATCTATTGACCTCAGCTAGCAGATAGAATGCTCAGATTGCACGAAGCAAGCGTCACTGGCTAACCAAGCAAGAGGACACACCCGAGACTTGGTTGCATGCATGAGCGGAATGCTATGCTTTATGGGTGATGTGAACCCTTGTGGCTAGTGCACTAAGGTCATAACTTCCCAGAATTGTTGTGGAAAAGGAATTCTGGAAAACAGGCTACTGAGGGAAGATTTAGCCGTTTCTATTCAGAGGAAAGGAATTGCACCATATGTTCATCAAAACAGCATTTTCTTATCACAGTTGTGCAAATACAAAATGTTCTCATTGTTGCACACCAAAATGATTTACAGTTTAAACAAATCATTTTACAAAGTTTACCTACAGCAGATTTAAGCAAACTTCAAAAGTGTATTGCAGTGGCTGTTTATAACAAACATGCATACGTGAGCAGACAAATCTAGACAAGTATTTTTCTCTTACCTGATACTGACATGAAAAAGGCTAGTCTTTGAGTTTTTGCGATTTGACTTTATTTATTGATTGTATATGTTATGTTTTCGTCGGATACCATCCATAATGAAACTAAATGAAAGCATGCCGAAGAGTGGCATCCTTGCCAGATTTAGTTTGTTTCCCCACAGTGCACCAGTCATCATGTAATTATTCAAATAGTGAATTATACAAAGAAAAATAATAATTAGATCCCAGGATATTCATCACAACTACATATGTTGTGTGGAATGATTAAAAGAAAGTCTTACTAGTTTGTAAAAATATGAGGTTGAGTAAATAAAAGATACAATTTTGATTTCAGTGTCAAATAAATCAAGAAACCACTTTTAAAGTTCTCCAGTGCTGTGACGTATTTCAGCCCATTCTCACTCCCAAGGCGTCACCTAACTGACGCCTTGGGAAGCATTTGGACATGCTTCAATATCTGACGCTTTAGGCGCCCTTTAGCGTCAGTTAGATGACGCCCTAGGATCGCGTGTACCCTACCCCCACCCCACACCTAAACCTAACCGCGTCCTCTAACAGACGCTTTCCTTTAGCGTCAGTTAGATGACGCCGTAGGATCGCGTCATGTAAGTGACGCTAAAGGGCGCCTAAAACGTCAAATATTGAAGCATGGTCAAAGGTGACGCCTTGGGGTGAGAATGCGTTGCGTATTTCCAAGTGAAACGGAATATTGAACAGAGGGCAGGGTTGTACTCTAGCGCTCCTCCTCTCCATCTCTCGCTCATAGCAAACTAACGGTTTGAGGGGAGTGCATGGTTAAGCGTTTCCGCACCCAAACTGCGAAACCTACGTCATCAGAAAAAGAAACTGTTCCAGACCAGAAGTAACTTTTCAGATTTTGATTAAAGATTACTAAGGTAAAACATTTTTTTAATATATATTCACTTGCACGGAATAATTGTTCACCACAAGACTAGTAATATGCGCTAACAAAGTAAATAGGTTCAATTTTGATTTCACGGGGACTTTAAAGGTGCTCTATGCATTTTTTAGCGGCCTCTGACAGTGATGTCGTGCTCGTGTGCGTGCTTGATCTCAAGAGCAAGCATTCACTACAGGCCACACTGAGACTTTCAACGCAACGGCGAAAGCATCACACAACATGCTGTAAACTAATGTAAACTCCCACTGCAGTTACAATAATAGGCTACTTTTATCAGTTTGACGTTGAACCAATGCTCTGTGCTCTTACCATGATAATGTTACAATAAGCATTTAGCCGACATGTGGTGGTATCTAGCATAAGCCATTTCTCTAACTATTTGTGCATCTTTCACAATCAGCAATGTTGACATAGGTGAATGTATAATATGATAACGAAAACGGTTAGTGAAGTAGACTGAACAATTTTAGTGTAACAGTAAGATCGTATGAAGTAACATTACTGTACTAAACGTGTCTGGAAATGTGTATAAACTATGGTAGTAGTGGGATGAGTGATGTTAGTCAGTAGATCTAGTAAATAAAATAAGTTACATCCTAAAGCACCTACTTTTTGTTATTCTTTTGTATTCATTTCATGTTTCATGTAGTTTACAGTACCTTGCTATTTCACTCGAGTTACTAATATGTTGTTCTAATAGGCTATGTTGATCCGCATTTTCGTCCTGAGTCGATCAGATTCATGTTTTGCCTGACGAGCTTCAGCAGATAAAACTTTTTTTTGTTTTTTTTATATATATATATATATATATATTTTTTTTTTTTGAGTTAGTGGAGGCAGGACCTTTTGGGGTTGGAGGTTATCAGACTCCATGTCGTCAGCTGAAGTGCCGTTGGTCGCAGACTGTAAGGATAGAGAGGCTCGGGAGTGCGCATACACATCACATCCGATTTCCGATGGATCCGACCTGGAGACCTCACATATAAATATGAATATTGGCCTTCAGGGGTAATAGCAAAACCCGAAAAGCGGATCATTGCAATGTGTGATTACAACACCTTCACACAGGCAATAAAAAAGGATTCATTTTATATATATATATATATATATATATATATATATATAAAGTTACATATAGGACCTTTAAAGGAACTGTTAACCCAAAAATCCAGTGCTCCCCTTTCCAGGAAAGTATGTGGCAGATGTGAAAAATATATACACTAGTATGCTAATCAACTGGATATGCCAGGGTAAAAACACCAGAAGAACAAAGCCATATTCCCACCATTGAAGACGATGTTCCTCATTTTGTTTTTCCACCAAAACCAACTGAAGCACTTAATCGTGCGAGTTATTAAAGGAACCGTATACAAGATTGTGGCCAAAACTGGTACTGCAATCACTTTCAAATTATTGTAGAGTTGTAACCCCTCCCCCTCCATCCTGTCTTGAGGCTGCCAGATAGGCTGCAGGATGCAACATTTTTTATCCGACACGTTTGTATCTGCAGCTGTGGTAACTAGAAGCAGAGCTGGCAACCCGGAGGCCGCAACACTAATGACTTCGTGATTGGTAGATCGGGGGAGGGTGGAGCATCAGACAAAAACACAACATGACAACATCCACATCAGTTGAGGGCTGCAACTTCACTTTTTAAATGACAATATCATGGCTGGACTACTGTTATATAAATATTTGAAATTAACATGATTTCTTAATGCCTGGTAACATATTGATGTCTAGGGCCATTTGATGATTATTTAAAATAAATTTCTTACATACAGCTCCTTCAATTTATTTGTTTATTTTTTTAACTGTAAATTCCGCAAAAAGCAACGCAGGAAGCTGTTATTATGCCAGCACTCCAGAGGGCAATTAAGCACTGCACTGTAGAGCCATTGAGGATGAGTTCACACTAGTGGGAATGGAGACGACTGTGGGAGCAAGTTAATGACAGGAAGCAGAAAAGTCTGGTGATGCTCTACAGCCACTCTTAAATTACCCAAATTAGGACTGAAGTATGTATCTGTTTCAGGATATGAAGAGATAATGACACCGATAAAAATGGGCTGCAGTATGATGTCTTCAAAAGAAATAAGGGAGTTTCAGTGAAAAAAAGTTTCAGTCCACAATTTTGTATTTAAAAATAAGCTTTATTTCCATGGCAACACTTAATAGTTTAGCCAGTTTTAACTAGGCTATGACAAACAGGGAGAGAGACTAAAATCCCACATAAATTTCCAACAGAAATGTCCAGCAAAGGGGCTTGGAAAGAACCATCCCAGGTAATTTGATCTTAAAATTATATGCAATAGAACCTCTATTAGCAAGCCATCTGATTGGCAGAACTTACCTCTATGGAAAAAAAACAGATTTATGCCAGTTACACCCAGAGTGCCATCTACTGGAGAACATTTCTAAATCTGTAAGCCTAAATTAATGTCACAATATTACAATCTATTTTTAAGCAGTTTCTTTAAAACTTTAGCATAAGATTCCTCTTAATTAATTGATACTAAACAATGACTTAACATTTACATCCCGTTCCCTCCACCATCACTACTATGTGATTTCTACAAATGAGAAGGGGAAAAAGTGATTAATTACCAAATAAAGTGTGCTCGAACAATTATTAAATAATTATGAGAGGAAAGCTTATATTAAAGACATGAGAATAACATATATGCTAAACATTAGTTCTCAAGGACTTGCATCAACAAATTAAATATAAAACCATTCTTAGGGAGTCATTAGACATGTTATTACTTGTTACCACATGGAATGCACAACATCTTACATCTCACCACGGATGTCTGCCAGTACAGAAACGACCTCAGGGGTTTCAGCAGTGATCACAGTAACATGTTCTAACTCTTCACTATAGTGGTCATGCTATGAGAACAATCACAGAAATATCAGTCTCATTTGTATTGATTGTCAAAGACGTAAAAGTAAGCAGTGGATAAAGCCTGCTGCAGTGTTTAGATTTTATTGATAGTTCAGATTCCCGAGGCCGTTTCTGTGGTACACTCCTCTTCCATCTGTTGCAAGGCATTCTGGTCACTTGGAGGAGGAGGGACAGACTAAGAGAAAATGCATAGAGTCTTTCAGTTAGCAAAGAGCAGTTCTTAAAAACTAAAGCAGGTTTCACAGAGAGCCCTCCATTTATGAATGTAACTGAGCTAAGAATCAAAACGATAAAGGAATTTTCAAACAAAAAATTGACATAACTTATTTACAAGCATTTCTGAAACCAAATGTCAGGATGCCAAACCATTTCGAAAGATTCAGCTGAGATTATCTGTGAATAATGACTTATATTTAAGTGAGTTCATCACAAAAGTCACAGTGCTTCAATAGTGATTTTTTTTAGGCACATGGTCACTATAAACAATCATATTAAAAAGATCTATGTGAAGATTCTTGAAAAAAAATGTCTTTGGGTTCCACATTATACAGAAAAAAATACAATGCATGTATTCCTTTTGACAGTTGAGATGATAAGAAATGTTTTTTGAGAACTAAAGCAGCATATTACAATGATTTCTGAAGGATCATGTGATACTCAATACTGAATCAAGCTTTGCTGTCACAGGAAAAAAATACATTTTAAAATGTATAAATGTTAACTTAAATTGTTTAAGATTTATAACTTCACAATATTACTATTTTTATAAATGCAGTGTTGGTAAGTGTTGGGCGTTAAAAATAACATACTGACCCCATAATAATATAATATAATATAATATAATATAATATAATATAATATAATATAATATAATATAATATAATATAATATAATATAATATAATATAATATAATATAATAATTAGCAATAGATTTAACTAATGTTAACAAATGAGACCTTATTGTAGTTCATGTTACTTAATGCATTGTTTATACAGTATTTGTTAATTTTTGTTAATGTTAGTTAATAAAAAGTCATTCATGCGTTTTCTCTTTGTTATAATGGACGGATGGACTCATAATCCCTCATATAACTCTAAGAGAGGTGTATAGACAACATACAGATTTGACCTTACAGCAGTTTTTAGAGGTGCATTAATATTTCCAATTCAGATGTGATGCATTTAAAGGATACCATAAATTGTCAAATTCAGCTTCATTCCCTTTAATTGTAGCTCCAATATGCTCACCTTTTGATATTAATGTATTAGTAAATATTTAAATTAACATTGATTAAGATTAATAAAGGTTAAAGTATTGTTCATTCTTAGTTTGTGTTACCTAAACAAAGTAATGAAGCCTTATTGTAAAGTGTGGAATATAATACATAATATAATATATGTGAGGGCAAGTGATGTAGAATCATTGGGATATAATTTAGCAGTAGTTTGTAACTATTTGCAGTGTTAGCAGTGTCATTTAATCAAGGAATATAAAGGCGGGTCTCCAGACTACCATTCTTGACACCGATCCTAGTATGGATACTCAAAGCAACCGCTGAATTGTACACGTTTATATACATGGCATGTTGGTTGCAGCTTACCTCTATAGCAGTTGTTACAGAAGAGCTGTCTGTGTCTGACTCTGACCTGAGCTCCGGACTCAATCCCTCTCCCAAGGTCAGTCCTGCAGCTGACACACTGCAAGATCAACAAGAAACAGTGAGTCCGGATACACATCAAGATGAGAGGATATAACCCTTTGCTTCCCATGACTCCATGCAGAAAGTCAAAGCCTCCCAAATCAGAAATGCTAATTATTGGGTCAGTGTGAGCAGATCCTTCACCATAGCTACATATGAAAAGGTGATTTTTGTTTTAGTCCAAGATGTTGAAGCAGTGATGTAACGGTCCTGTGCTGCAGTGAAGAAACAAGCAGTAAACAAAATAACCCCTGCAACCAGATACAGGAATCTAAAAGGGACAAACATCATTAGAAGGAACAAAAGAGACCAAAGCAAATACCTTATTTTCCGGAAAATAAATCGCACCGGACTATAAAAGGTCGCACTATAATTTGAGATTTTTTTTTTTTTTTTAATGGGTGTACAGTATGTCACATTGTATTATTACATTCAAAAATAACATAATTTACAACTAAATAAAACAATGCTTTTAAAACTATAAATGCATATTTTGGTCCCCTCTCACTTAACAACTAATCATTACAGGAGTCATTTTGGAATATAAATCTCAGCATGTTAAAGAAAGAAAAAAATGTATTCCGGAAAATGCGGTATTATTTAGAAAAGCCTGTGTGTTCAGTGACTGGCAGGGTTCTGGTGAGGTTAGCCTTTAATTGGTTGTGCAGAGGTTAGCCAGAAGAAGTGTTTATTTTGTCAAGTTAATTGGAAATAAGGCAATCAGAAAACAGGCTGGACTTACAATGTCTTTAAATTCAACAGAACACTTTATTTAGATAATCCACTTTAGACATTCTACTAACCATAAGTAACTTTGCAGCAATATGTCAACTAACTGTCATTAGCAGATATTAAGCAGACAGTCTACTAATACTCTAACACTTTTATGCTCCCCCAACAGACATTACTGACCATAAGTAACTTGGCAACTACTTGTTCTCCTAGCCCGAACCCTAACACCTAACCATAAACTAACAGTCTAATAGACCATTTCACAAGATGTAAACAACACTGGTCCAGAAGCACTTCCTGTTTCAGTTTTTTAACACTACATAAAAGCTGGGATAAAATACAACCAACAGAACATTTAAAACTGAATCAAAAAGTTAAACAAACATCTTTAAGATGTTTTCTTTACATGTGAAATAAAGAAAACAGTTACAAACTGAAACAGGAAGTGCTTCTGGACCAGTGTTGTTTACATCTTGTGAAATGGTCTATACAGCCTACTAATATTCTAATGAGAGTTAGTTGACATGTAATTGAAAAGTTACCTATATAATTAGTAGAATGTCTAAAGTGGAAATAAAGTGTAATCAATGTTTAACTTGGAATTAAAACGCATTAATATAAGAGTTCTGGAATGTAGTATGAATGTGGTATAAAAGTATGAATTAGGATAGAAAATCTACAACATTTCTAATTTGTTTTGCTTTAATATGCTTGTAATCTGATTGCCTACAGCAAAATAGAAGAATTTATTGATGTTAGGTGGCTAATGATCTCCTGTTGCCCCAAATGCTGAAGGTTAAAAACCCAGGCTAGGTGCAACAGATCCACGGAAGGGCCCGCTCGCTCTTAGTTTCAGGTGACCTCTAGTCTCACCTTGAAGCAACCAATGTGAAAGCAGAGCTCCAGGGAATCGATGACCATGGCGGCTCCCTTCCCCAGAGGCTGCTCGCACCTCGAGCACATCCGCCTGCCACTGAGCACCCTACAGGCATCACATGCCAGTGTCAGAGTCAGTGTCAATGTCAGAAACAAGACAGCATTTGCTCTGCCCTTTCCCTGATTCGACTGCATTTAACAGAAGAGGTTGGCGGCAGAATACGGAAAGGTTCGGAATAGCACACTACCATACTATGCTGCATGTATACTGTACACATTAACAGCATGCACGGCGTTCCATGGAATACCCAAGTTGTCAAAATGCATGTTGTGTGGGATACTGCTCCCAACAATGCAATACTCTCCACTTGAGCTTTCAGTGTGACAAATGGAGTGGAGGCAATAATAATTTTCACATTTTACATTTTCACTGTATATTTATAAAACAGCAAAAAGTTTACATTTTTTCTACACAGAATTACATTACAAATGAACAGTATTTCAGATGAACTAGACTGCAAATGGTTGATTTAGCCTGGAACGTAGTAAGGTTATGTAGCATACAACTATTTACAAGAAATATTGTTGAATATGGCATACTCTTTCACATACTGTTTTGCAGAATACTTTGTACACTAGCGTTTAAATGTTTGGCTCTGAAAGTCTCTTATGCTCACCAAGACTGATTTTTTTTGCCATTTAAAATGACTTTTCTATTTTAATAGAAAATCCTTTGATGACAAAGCTGAATTTTCAGCATCATTAATCCAGTTTTCAGTTTCAAATGATCCTTCAGGTCAATTATTCTAATATACAGAAGAAACATTTCTCATTATAAATGTTGAACAGTTGAGCTGCTTAAAGGAGTAGTTCACTTTCAAATAAAAATTTCCTGATAATCTACTCGCCCCCATGTCATCCATGTTTTCCCTATCTTCAGTCAAAAAGAAATTAAGGTTTGAGGAAAACATTCCAGGATTGTTCTCCATATAATGGACTTCAATGGCAACCAACGGTTTGAAATGTCAGTCTCAATGCAGCTTAAAAGGAGAAACAAGGGTCTTATCTAGCGAAACGATCGGTCATTTTCTAAAAAAATAAATAAAAGTGATATGCTATTTAACCACAAATGCCCATCTTGTACCATCTCTGAGATGCGCTACGCATTACGTCATCACTGGACAGGTCACGCGTGACCTAGTTGCAAGTACCAAACCAATGTTTACAAGTTTGGAGGAGGACAGTTCAAAGTTAATGTATGTTGAATGACATATTTATATGTATTTGTGCCCATTTATAGTTTAAAATAGTCATTACGTGTGCATATCCTGAATGTTTAACAATGCCACGCGTGACCTTTCTAGCGTGATGACGTAATGTGTGGTGCATCTCAGCGATGGTAGATAAGACCATTATTTCTTGACTGGGATTGTGTCGAGCCTTTGAAACTGCAATGAGACTGACATTTGGACCATCAAACCATTGAAGTCCATTATGTAGAAAAAATCCTGCAATGTTTCTCAAAAAACTGAAATTCTTATAGACTATAGAAAGAAAGGCATGGACATCTTGGATGACATTGTGGTGTATAAATTATCAGTGAAAAAAGGATTCGATGAATAGAAAGTTCAAAAGAAGATAATTTATTTGAAATATATTTCTCTCATTTTTTATCAATTTATCTGAATGTATGCATGTATGTTTTTTTGTTTTTGTTTTTACAATTGTACAGATCCCAATCTTTTGAACGGTAGTGTACACCACGTTATATGCTGCTTTATGCAGTACATGAGTATACCATTCCGATCAGTCACTGATTGCTAAAATACCTGGGGTTAAAAGTCAGGTAGAGTGAGATCCTTAAGAGAAAAAAAAATACAAATAAAAGAGCTGCACTTAAAATTGGCTTAAAGGCATTTAAACTGAATATGCATTTTACAAAAAGCAATGCTTTGTTTCCTTTGAGTAGTCCATACCTGCCACACTGCTGAGAGTTTGAACGGGACTCAGGGACGGATGTCTCATGAGTAGTTGTGATTGGTGGAGAGTGAACGTTGGAGGCTGATAATGCCTGTTTAAGACCAGTAGAGAAGATGGCTGAGCCAGGTCCCAAGCTGCTGCGTCCACTCCTGTAAGAGCCAGTGCTTCCCAGAGCAGAATGGGGTCGGTTTGTGAGACCCGAAGTGTAGGACTGCCTGGACCAGGAGCCGGTCGTGTGGAGGTTCTCCAGCGATTCATAACTGTGAAGAGATTGAAATGTTAAAGACAGACTGGAAATGACAAAAAGTACACCATTATTCAAAAGTTTGGGGTCAGTAAGATTATTTTTTTTTTTTTATGTTTTGAAAAGCTGTCTCTTATGCCCAGTTGCTCAACAAGACAGCATTTCCAGTATTTAATCAAAATACAGTAAAAACTAGTGGTTGACCAATATACAAGTTTTTTCTTATTGGCCGATGTCTTAGAAGAGTTTACAATTTTTGTTTCAGTCATATTTAATGTGCTATTAGATAAAGCTATTAAAAAAAAAAGTATAGTGTTTGCTTTTATATTATTAGTAGCAAAGGCAAACACTATTATACTTCATTTACTGTCAGCATTCAAAACAATTAAACAAATCTCTGAATATCTAATAAACATTTTTTCTGAAGTGCGCATTTGTAGCCTGCATAAACGTGTTACTCTATACGTAACGTTTGGTCCGTGTGAATTAAATTCCGACAAGAGACGCACGATCGACTAACTCTAAACCTTTGATTTTAAAAATATGCAGCGCTATATCCAGTTTCATGCAATTTTGAGTGTGTTCTGTATTTAAAATTAGAGTTACTTTGTCTTTATTTGACAAAATATGATTCCCAGTGCACACAAATTTACCAGATTACAGAGTCCCATTACAGTTTACTTCCTTTTTATTCATATATTTTTAAACAATTCCTTTTTTTGTGAAAAATACTATAATAGGATTGAAGAATCAAAATGTTGCGATCTAAAGTATAAGCATATTTTAAAGATTTTAAAACATTTTTCAAATGTATTAAATATTAATAAACAAACCGTTTTCCATTTTAATATATTTCAACTAAACATTTCTTCAACTATATATTTCTATTAAAAAATAAAATATTAAATCCCACTTACTAATCCCAAACATTTAAACAGTAGCACACTGTAAGCTGATAAAGAGAATCTGTGCAAAACAGCATAAGGGAAAAATGTTGGGACCTCTTGATTGACGTTCCCGCAGTGATGGACTCTTTGTTGATGGCATTTCGCTGACGGATCCAACTGCCGTCTGTGAGGAGCTGCGTTTTCTTCCTCATCTCCTCCAGGATCTGCAGACGTTCCTTTTCTGCCTGTGACAGCTGTCCCTTCTTTTTACCGCTCCCGGCAGCTAATGAAGGGACAAGCCAGAGAAGAGGAGAATTGTACCTCAGTCAACTCTCAGGAACTCAAATAAGAATACTCAAAAAGAAATGTAATCAGACCTTTAGCATCTTGTTTGTGAAGGCTTTCAAGTGCAGGGGTAGATTTTGACTTTGTCCTAGGAAAAGAGGAAGTTAAAGAAAAAGAGTGAAAAAAAAACCCATCACAACTGCAAGCCTATCTTTAAATGTGAAGTGTGCTATTTTTGCATCACCAACAATAAATTCCTGGAAAATATCTGGCAATGAGGACAGAGCTGAATGTGAGGAGAAAGATAATAGGACAATGTGAAATATTACTAAATGGAATCATAACTCACATTTGTTAACAGAATTGTTAACATTCTCTTGCTTACATTTCTTATGGAAAATAAAACTCTGAATTACTGACTACTTTCTCTTCCCATTAAAGTGAAAAAGTATTTTAATAATGGAAAAAATGCACACATAACCTTTAAGGCAGTGGAAAATCTTTCAGTACAGAAATAAGTGCTGCCAGATTTACTACTGTACATCACATCATTCCTTATGCCACAAAAGCCATTAAAAGATGCAAATATAGCCACAAAAGCAAACTGACCTGTCGGAAACTGTAAGCTTGGCAAACCCATAGGACTCCTCTGAGCTGAAGCAGGACAGAGCAGAAGCAGCTCATAGATAGACATGCAAGCAATCACCAAAGCAACCGAAACATGTACATGCAACTCCACACTGCACTCAATACAAAGTCACTACTACTTCAGAAATTGGCAATACATAGCCTATTAATTAGGGCTGTCAATTTAACATGGTAACTTAGTGATTTATAAAAAAAAACTAATGCTAAAATAATAATAAACTAACAAATTCTATTAATTTTTAACATTCTCAGAGCAAGATGCTGAAAACACAGCTGGATTCAACAGCTAAAAACTGTCCTAAAAATATGTCTTTGTGAACGGCCTACTTCCTCAGACTGGTTGGCAAACGCAAATGGATTCCTGTGGACTGTGCTGGCGCCAGTGATATGTTCAATGATTTGGAAATAAAACAAAATGATTTCTGTTGACTACTACAGTATATATTAAAGGGATGCTCCACCATTTTTTTTTTTCATATTAAACTATGTTATTCCCTTAACTAAGAGGAGTCGGTACATACCTCTCTCGTCAATCGCGAGACACTTTGATCACACTTAAAGGGATAGTTCACTTTGAAATTAATTTTTGATATGTTTTAGCTTACCTCAAGGGCATCCGAGATGTAGGTGTCTTTGTTTCCACAGTATTTTCAATTTTGAGAAACTATACGGTAGGTGGCGGTAATACTCCTAAGCGGTGAGCAGCCGGTAACAAGAAGTAGTCGAAGAAGAACGTCGTCATCTCAGTTCTCGCGCATGCGCCCATAAGGAAGTAATGGAATAGTCGAATAAAGTCGTTATTTATGTTTCTTTCGCACAAAAAGTATTCTCGTCGCTTGATAAACTTATAATTGAGCCACTGTAAACACATGGAATATTTAAACATTTTCTTTAAAGACTTTATGGGCCGTCAAAAGGCAGTCCCTTAGGAAGTCTATAGACCTTATTCAGAGCAGCGCCATGACAGGTATGAAAGTGAGGCTGTGAGGGATAGACTTACCATGTTTCCAATGGCATCCGCTGTAAAAAGCTGAATAAAGCGGCTAGATTACTTACAATTTTCCACAGCTTGTATTGTCGGGAGTTTGTCAAATAAACTTCCTTGGAAAGATATTTTTCCAGTGTTTCGTGAGCAGAACAAAATAAAAACACATTAAATAATAGTACAACCCATTGAAGAGATGCATGCCTATCCCTCACAGCCTCGCTGTCATTCTCATTAAAAATCAAAGATGGCGCTGCCGTGAATAAGGCGTATGGAGGAGTGATCCAGCTCTCAAATTTAATCAAAAATATCTTCATTTGTGTTCCGAAGATGAACGAAGGTCTTACGGGGTTGGTACAGCATGGGGGTGAGAATTCTGTCTAGAATATGAGTATAATGAAGTCAGACTAGAATAACAGTTTAATATGAAAAAAAATAAAAAATAAATACGGTAGAGTATCCCTGCTTAAGACTTCTCTGCTTTAATATATTTTTATTCAATGTCTTTAATGAAATTGTTTAATCAAATTCATTTTGTGGGCTTGTCTTTTGAAATGATATGCATTAATGCTTTCCCAAACTTTCCTAATATTTAGGGAAATGCTAAATCATAATATTTTTCTCAGCATGAACAAAAAAACAGCTACAACTTAGCATATGTCTTACCACTGACTCTTTGTGGTTGAATCACACTCCACTTCTGTCTTAAGCGACTGGTGTCCTGGTGCTATTTGCAAAGCGGTCTGTCTATTCTTTTCTGCTCCCACCTTCTCTGCAATCTGATTGGATGCCACTGAAGTGGTGGCAATGGGAGGTGGAATCTGAGCAGTTGTATTTCCATTGGACAGCACAGCAAAGCATTTCTGCTCCTAATACCGTCAGAAAGTAAATAATAACAGTGTTTACCATTCACTATTTTATAATGACTGCAGAGTATTGCAGAGCAACGTAATGGAAACACTTTATACGACATTACAATTTACATTCAAGTTATGACAATCCTCTGACCTCAGGACCACTGTGCTCCTCTCCATAAAACTCCTCCTGAGCTCTTCTCCACTCCTCCTCTAACTTCTCTTGATCACGTCGATACTTTTCCTGAAACCAGCACAGGCAAACATGTTTTAATGTAACGGTTTATTACAAAACATTTTATCAGCAAAATAAACTCCCTCCATCAGTGTTATTAAACTAAAATACTGCATTAATAATAATAATACAATATATATATATATATAAGAGTTCAGATGCAAAAGCCTCTAAATGCCATTTGAAATTTTCTTCTTTAATGATGATTTTTGTCAAACTTGTATATTTAAGTTCAGTAATTTCACTTAAATGGCAATGATAATTACCTATTAATTGTTATTTAAGTGAAATTACTGAACTTAAATATACAAGTTTGATAAAAATCATCATTAAAGAAGAAAATTTCAAATGGCATTTAGAGGCTTTTGCATCTGAACTCTTCATATATATATATATATAGAAAAATATATATTTTTCCATGGCAAAAATAGACCATAAATATTGCATAAATATTAATAAATTCAATCAAATTACCTCAAAATACTAAATTAAAAAGAATATTGTAGAACAAAAATAAATTGCATTGGTTTTTACTGGGATGGAGGAAGTTTCATTTTTAGGAGTCTGGTCACTTCTGACCAGGAAGGCTCAGGACGTGACTCCTAAACGAAGACCATCAGAGAGTTAACATGTACACACACACACACACACACACACACACACACACACACACACACACACACACACACACACACACACACACACACACACACACACACACACACACATTACTCACCGTCACTGTGGTGGACATTAGGCAAACACACTGAGATCAGACACACAAACTCACTCACCTGCTGTCTCTCAGGCTGTGGCACACACACACATGTATCTGGCAGCCAGTGCTGTGGTCTTCCTCTCCTAGTATAATCTTTATCTGTTCTACTTCAGTCATGGCTGTAAAGTTCTGTTTTAAGTTGTTGAGTTTGTTGAAGTGGAGGTCTCTGATTTAGCTGTATTTGTGACAGTGAAGGAGGAGGTGCATCTCTGTCTCAATCTCTCCTGTGCTACACTGAACACACCCCCTTTGCTCTCGGGGTAACCAGCTCTTTCTGTGTCTGATGGTCTCGTTGGCTAGACTATGTTCACTTAGCCTGTACTTGCTTTTGTCTCTCACACTCTGGAGATATTATCCCAATTCAAAATTTGATTTAAAGTTCGGTAGTATTGTAATTTGCTTTGTTTAATAGTAGATGTTTAATAGTAGAATAGTTTTATTAGATGTTAGTAGTACTGTTAGTCAGGTTAGTAAGTCTCAGGACCAGCTGACTGAGGAGACCCTTTTTCGGGGTTCAGTTTATGTGTTTGTAGTGCTTTAAAATGTAGCGATTCTGTGGGACTTGATTTTAGATGCATTCAAAATTTGAGGGATCTTTTTTGTACATTAACAATCAATGGGAATCGGCCTAATTCTGCCCTACATGCATCATTGGGTGTTTTCCTTTGCAGTTTTAGAACAAGTTTGCAGAATATTGTGCGTAGGGCTCTCTATTGGATGTCTGTCCCATCTAGTGTAGCTCTGATCACTGATTGGACCCCAAACCTCACTTCCATACAGTGCAATGGGCTGAATTACACTATCAAAGATATTACACCAGATTGGAATCGGTAATTCAATGTTAATGTGTGTGTGGACAGACATACACACACATTATTATGATTGTAATTAATTATAATAAACAAATTTATATTTTAACTATACTAACTAAAACAAACTAAAAATAAGAAATTCCCCCTGAAACAAAATCTATTCTGAAACGTCTCGCATTCAAGATTAGTGATGCTTTCCAGTATACTTTTACACACTTTCAATCCCTGCTGCCCTTTTGAAGTATGCTCCACTTCGTGAAGTGGACAAGGAAAGTTTATATGGAGAGACCCTCGCTCCCTCGGTCAAAATCGAAGGGGGCGAGTCTTCTAAATACAGTATGTACACTTCAGGCAGCTCCATATACCACAATGCAACACGATTGTGACTTCACCGCAGATCTCGTCAAATCACCACCACCACAAACAACTCTGATATATTGCATTTGGGCTTTTATAAATAAAATAAAATCATATCTATATACATTTATATGCGGCATTAAACAAATTCTTAACGGGAAATATTTTTTTAAATAATAAATCAACTCCATAGCTGATTCCCAGTGATCAAGGGTGTTCAGTTTCCACCAATAGTGGGCACTCTTGCAACATAAGCAATGACGTAAATCCGAGTGAACGAGATGCAGGGAAGTTAGTGAAGTGAAGGGCATGACAATTTTGGAATGGAACGCATCACTGGTGGTTATGGTAAAAAAGAATATGTGATTTGGTGGTACCTGCAGGAGGCGCTCTTGTTCCATCTGCCATTTCTCCTGCCGCCGCCTCTCTTCCTCATGATCCCAGGACCAGCGAGAGGAGGTAGAACTGATGGAGGGAACCTGCAGCTGATACCAGAGAGAAACAATATGAATAATGAACCAAAAAGTCAAATTTAGACAGTATCAGCATACTAATAAACCAGAATCAGGCTTGAAAGACTAAATGTGACTGACAGTAGTGACTCACATCAGAGATGGCAGACTCCGAGCCACCTAGTAAAAGGGGTGGAAACAAAGAGTATCTGTTTAAACACAGTAGCATAACAAAGCCCACAGATAGCCATGAGTTTCCCAACCCTTTAACCTGTTGATTCATGCTGCTCATGTGATTCTGACACACACACACCCTGCTCATATGACAAAACTGTAACCAAAGCCAACACGGTCAAGCGAGCGGACAACAAATTCACACTCACATGCTGGTATGCAGGCTTTAAACAACACGCAAGACAGAAGTAAACAATGAACGTGCAAAAAAAAAAAAACATCTCAGAGCAATCCCTTTTAGAATTGTATTTGTTCAATAACAGTCAATTGCAGAGGAATCTGATAGCGGATCAATACTTCTGGTATTAAAAACTAAATTATTAGAGACTAACTAACTCAAGGTTGTCTTTGCAAACTGTTCTGCAATAAGACAGGAATCACACACAGCCAATTACAGACAGACAGAAACATAAAGAAACAAGAGTCTTCATATTTTACAGTGTATCACATGCACATTGAAAGCACACCATCTTTATTTACCACAGAGATAGACCCAGGAGCTGACAGTGGCACCTGATGGACAGAGCATTGGCTTTTAGAAGAATGGAAAGCAAAAGAAACCCATGGAGTGATTTCAGATCTGTATACCCAGACCTAGAGACTTAACTATTTAGAAGAGAGCATGAAAAAAGTCATCTTAACATAAATTTGTGACTATACCGTACATACTAAATGCTTTAGTTTGTCAGGTCCTTAGAATGCAGAATAAGCAAACCCATCTGTTTTTGAGTGAACTCATTAATATTGAACAGAACAGACCTCACCAATACACTCCATTAAGAGTGTGCTTGATGCAAATCAGTCACAGCATAATTAAATGAATAAGCTGCAATGATCAATTAGCCATGTAGCATTACATTTCTACAGCCTGAGCGAATGCGGTTACCTTTGTTCATGAAAAATTCTAACTTTCTTGTATGATTTTTCAAAGCTATGCGCTCATAGTCTACAACACAGGTGGGGAGAGAACAATGCAAACAAAGGTTTTATAAATAACGTGGAAATTGTTAGGTTTAACTCTGAACAAGAACAAAGATTAGATTGCTAAACTGGTGTTAAAGTACCCACCTTTGTTTCTTAGAGTAACTGGATTGTCCTGGATACGTCCATTCACCATTTTAGTTAGTGCTTTCTGTAAAATGTGAAGTAAAATTAAACAAATAAATTAAAAATTAAATTAGAAAATACACTACCATTAAACAGTTTGGGGTCAGTAAGATTTTTAACATGTTTCAGGTCTCTTATGCACACCAAAGTTGCATTTATTAAAAATAATAAAAACAGTAAATGTTAAATACTAAAATAATTTATAACTATTGATTTATTTTATAAAAAAAATATTTCTATTTTAATATGATTTAAAATGTCATTTCTTTATGTAATGTAAATCATTTAGGGTATGTTTACACGGCAACAATATGCTTAAAATTGACAAGTTTGAGTTTTCCGCATTCAGACGACACCATTGTCAAAACGATCACAATTCACACGGATCCGCGAAAACGAATCGGTTACCTAACATAACCTCGGTTCTCTCTAAAAGGGGGAACGAGTAGGCCTATTGCGCAAGTTTAGCTTAGAATACAAGTTAAAAGACAAGTTTAGTTTATAATACAAAATGAAGGATAATTTTTGGCTTCAATATCTCAAGAAAAGATGACATTACCCATAGTGTAAGCTAAACTTGAGCAATACGAGAGAACCTCTCATAAGAGAACTACTGAAAATTCTGCTGCTGGGCCATTAGATGGTGATAATTTTGTTGTTAACACGAGACAGTTTTCAAAAACTTGCCGTTTGAAATATGGAAATGAATGGCCAAAATTCTTACAAAGTTTAAGTTTTTTTAGTTGAAAGTGGTGTCGTGAAAACAACCCCTTAGATTTCAAAGCTTAATTTTCAGCAGCCATTACTCCAGTCTTCAGTGTCACATTATCCTTCAGTATTCATGACAGAAATTTAGGGGCAGTTTACACAACAGTTTTCAAAAAAAACAAAAAAACATCAAATGTATGCGTTTTGGCCGCTTATTTAAACGATGACAGAGTTTTGGGTGCCTGAAAACGCAAACTTTTGAAAACAAATCTCTGAAAAAGATGATGTCATGTGTTTAACGTTTAGTATTTCATCGCCATCTAATGGCCTGGCAGCAGAATACAATGTTTTTTGTCATTTCATTGTCACTTGATAATTTCAATGCATCCTCGCTGAATATAAAATTAATTTCTTTTCTTTTTTTATGTTTTTTTTTTTTTTTTATCTTTTGACAAAGTGTACCTTTAACACTCACTGTACAAACAACCAACTTGGTCAAGTAATAAAAATGGACAAATTAAAAAAAAAAAAAAAAAAAAACACAACAGTTAAACTCACTGATTTCTCAAAGTCCACCTCATTCATTATATTCCTGTCCTGACTCACATTAGCAGGCCGTCCGTTGACCTGTGTCTTCACCACAGTCTCCACTGGAGAGTTTGAGGTTGTGCTGATCGAGACATAGTTCTCGGGCCGCCCTATAAGTGTTGAATTGGCACTGGTCAAATTGATGGTCTTATGGCTCTTGTACGGTAGGGAAGGGTGGCCACTGCCCCAGTCTGTCCAGTATTCAAAACATACATCAGCAATTCAGAAATTCCAGGTCACATGTTAGTGAGCTTGTTAGTGATTTAGACCAATTATTTACATCAGAATTAGATGTAAATTGTGAAAGAGGAATTTTAAGTGGGTAAAATTATAGAGTTTAATATAAAAGTGAGCATTAAATTAAATTAAATTAAAGGGTGCTGATAATTATTCCCTATGAAAATATTGAAGCAAAGATTACTGATGCAATAGAAAAAAAAACCCAATTGTATCAGACCGGAAAGTGAGAATGACTGACAGACAGACAGATAGACCACCTTCCCACAGTGACAGAAAGCAAAAGAAAGCATCCGATTCTGGAATGGCACCTTCATTTTCTCAGCTCAAAAGCAGAAGGAACTGTGCCAGAAAATATAAAGACGAAATACCAAACATCAAATTGCAACAGCTGTTTCTAGAAATAATTTATATACCAATCCATAGTGTAAACATGCAGTGGTGTAATCTGAATATAAACAGTGTCATTAAAGAGGCAAAGAAACCCAAAGTGTAATTAAGAGTTTAAAATATATTACTACTTGATTTATGTTCACAAATTCACTTGTTGGTAGAAGAAAAATTATGTTGATGAAATGGTCAGTTTACACAGTGAGGGCTGATTCTTACAGCTCCCACAGCCTCACCATTTTGGCCATGTCGCCGGATGTCCATCAGTAAAGTGCCTTTTTGCTGTGCCGAGTCCATGCTGCCCTTAAACTGCTCATAATTCATTTCGGCGACCTTGCATCCACCCAACGCCACAATCTCATCCCCCATGAGCAGACCACACAACTCCGCTGGGCTGCCTGTGTGATACAGGGACAGAGATGAAACAGGTCAAGGCCGTGCCTTAAAGCTTAACTGAGGAAGTTTGTGAGTACAGAATCAACTTTACTTCCTGATATAGACCAATGGGATATTTATTGAAAACTTCAAGTTCTAGAAGGTTTTCATTTACTGAGATCTTAATCTGATAAAGTGCAAACAGGACGTCATCTCTTCAGTCTTATTCAACTTGAATTACTGTATAGAACATGGCATTGTATTGTACAATTTCATAGTGCATTATGCTGTATATTTCACTGTATATTGATTCTGTTCCTGGTAGTTATTTTTTTGTACATTTAGCATTGTATAATTTCAGAACATATTTCATTGTACATAGCCTATGTACAATGAGTAAAATAAAGTATATGAACACCCTGCTATTTTGCAAGTTGGCCGACTTAGAAATCATGGAGGGGTCTGAAATTGTCATTGTAGGTGTATGTCCACAGAGACATAATCTAAAAAAAAGGGAATCAGAATGTATGATTTTTTTTAACTATTTATTTTTATGATACAACTGCAAATAAGTAGAGAAAAGCAATGTTAATATTTGGTACAGTAGCCTTTGTTTGCAATTACAGGTCAAATGTTTCCTGTAGTTTTTCACCAGGTTTGCACACACTGCAGGAGGGATTTTGGCCCACTCCTCCACACACATCTTCTCTAGATCAGTCAGGTTTCTGGGCTGTCGCTGAGAAACACAGAGTTTGAGCTCCCTCCAAAGATTCTCTATTGGGTTTAGGTTTGGAAACTGGCAAGGCCACGCCAGAACCTTGATATGCTTCTTACAGAACCACTCTTTGGTTATCCTTGCTGTGTGCTTCGGGTCATTGTCATGTTGGAAGACCCAGCCTCGACCCATCTTCAATGCTCTAATTTAGGGAAGGAGGTTGTTCCCCAAAATCTCGCAATACATGGCCCCGGTCATCCTCTCCTTAATACAATGCAGCCGCCCTGTCCCATGTGCAGAAAAACACCCCCAAAGCATGATGCTACCAGCCCCCATGCTTCATGGTGTTCTTGGGATGGTACTCATCATTCTTCTTCCTCCAAACACAGTTGGTGGAATTATGACCAAAAAGTTCAATTTTGGTCTCATCTGACCAAATGACTTTCTCCCATGACTCCTCTGGATCATCCAAATGGTCATTGGCAAACTTAAGACAGGCCTTGACATGTGCTGGTTTAACCTTCCATGCCATGACCTCTTAGTGTATTACCAACAGTAACCTTGGAAAGGGGGGTCTCAGCTCTTTTCAGGTCATTGACCAGCTCTTCCCATGTAGTTCTGGGCTAATTTGAGACCCCACAAGGTGAGATCTTGCATGGAGCCCCAGTCCGAGGGAGATTGACAGTCATGTTTAGCTTCTTTAATTTTCTAATGATTGCTCCAACACTGGATCTTTTTTTTCACCAAGCTGCTTGGCAATTTCCCCGTAGCCCTCTCCAGCATTGTGTAGGTGTACAATTGTCTCTAGTGTCTTTGGACCGCTCTTTGGTCTTGGCCATGTTAGTAGTTGGATTCTTACTGATTGTGTGGGGTGGACAGGAGTCTTTATGCAGCTAACAACATCAAACATGTGCATCTAATTTAGGATAATAAATGGAGTGGAGGTGGAAATTTTAAAGGTAGACTAACAGGTCTTTGAGGGTCAGAATTCTAGCTGATAGACAGGTGTTCAAATACTTATTTGCAGCTGTATCATACAAATAAATAGATATAAAAAAATAAAAACACATATTCAAATTTTTTTTCGATTACGTCTCACAGTGGACATGCACCTACGATGACAATTTCAGACCCCTCCATGATTTCTAAGTGGGAATAGAAGGGTGTTCCAATATTTATTTTCCTCAATTTATTACAAAGAATATTCATTTACAATGCAAGTATAATTTACTCTGAAACCAACATTTGTGCACTTTTTCCACACAAGTATAAAAATTTATTAAACATGCATGTAAAAAAAAAAAAGTTGATTCATTACTACATATTTAATTAATCGCAACATATTAACTGACAGATAGCCCTAAACAGAAACATGAATGGAACAGGTTCATACATCATTGATGAGGCAGTACATGTAGGTTAGTGTGTTTAATGGAATTCTGGGGAAGGAGATCAACCTGAGCCTTCTCTTCCCAACCCTAACTCTGTTAACACAATACATCTGATTAAAGGGATGCCTGGAGTCAGAACCAACCACTCTCCATATCTTCTATACAACAATACAAATGAGAGCTGATATAATGGACATGTGCTTTAGACTATATTTATGTTAACATGGCTACCCTAACCTGCTTTTGTAAATGCACATCACAGATGAATGCTGCCTCTCCTCTCGTTCATGATGATATATCCTAAGCTCAGGACTAGACTCACATCAGGATGGGTTTCAAGGCTTTTTCTGTTTAACCAATCAGACTAATGCACAGTAAAACACACCTTCACTGTTCCCTATAAATCATTCATCTCAAGTCTTACTCCAAAATCCCAAGAATGACACACACTCTGACTGTACGTAAATGTACATAACCATACAAACACTCCTTGCATTCACACAAAAAAAAGAAACTACAAAAATAACCGTCAAGCACAAGGTGTGATACACAGAAGATCCACAAACTCTTAATCTGCGAAAAGTATGCAAAGATTCTTCAAACTTTAATCATGAATTCTCAAACTTTGTATTTAGGATTTATTTAATTTTCTGAACTGTAATTTCTACTCAGTTATCATCTCAATTATCCCCATTCATCCATAAAAATACACCACCAAAGTTTCACCCTATAACTCTAAACAGATTCTGTATGGTAGAATTGGGCATCTAACCTGACTGAATTACAGCTGCTTCACATTTCACTTGCATACAGTGAAATTTCAAAGCCCAACTGCATTTAAAAGGAGCAGTTATTCTAGTTAACCACTTTGCCGTTTTGAATTATAAGTCTTACCTGATTGAACTGATTTCACACAAGCACCAGTTGAGTCCCAGTGAGCCTTGAATCCAAAGTCTCTCCCGCTGTTAGGCTTCTGATTCAAACAGACTCGCATTTCACTTTGACCCACCTGAGAGAGAGAGGGAGAGATACAGAGAGAGAATGTGACACCTGAGGATCCCATAACACCTTCTTCCTCAAGAAATCTGCTTCAGTTACAGTAGTACAACACAAACTGTGTCCACTATCACACATACCTGCATAAATGAAAGATAAAAATAATTCTTCAAAGGCATTATATATAACATTACAGTTTAAGAAATTATATACACATTTTTATAGTGCATTATTAATATAATATAGTATTCCAGTGAAAAGTGTTCCAGGTAGGTCAGGATGTCCTGGACATCATGATTGGATTGGTTAAGATCGTCAAGGAACCTACCTTAATTTCTCTAACTTTTGAGTCAACAGGAGGAGATGTTTGCATCATGGAAGCGGTCGTGTTCACTTTAGTGACGAAAGAGCTCATGGGAGGCGCTGATGACCTTCCATCTCTCCAGTCTTCCAGAGTGCTTGAATGAGAGTGACCTGTCTCGCCAGAGGATGTGATCTTTCCTTGACCACTGAGAAATGAGGGGATGACTGAATAGTCTCTGCGTCCACTGATTAGGCTTTTATGAGAGTCGTCAATCTGTAGAATCACAAGATAAAACCAAATAAATAAAGTGGCCATTTTCTTAACCACTTCTACAACCATGAATTCTGTTCAATTTAGAGCTGTGTTTTAGAGAACTGAATTTTAATTTGCCTGAAAATTTTGATTTTAACAAGCCCATGAATGAAAAACTACAAACAAACAACTTGGTCAATCTCTGAAAAACGTATGCGCCAATTCTTGTTGACTTTAATTTTAAATCCAATGCATTAGGTCACATTATTATTAAACACACACAGTACAATATGCAATAATTGCTTTTATTTAAGACAGTGCGTGTGTACACACATGGTTGAGAAGTCCGTCATGGAAAAGCACACACAAGGCACACCGAAGTCTTAGCTTGGGTTTCACGAAGCACCCAGAGCGCAGAGCAGTAGTAGTGGCTTGATTCATTATTCATAAGCCAGCCGCTAGATGATCAAGTGATGAAGAGAAATACTAAACTTCACACACGGAACATTGCATATACTACCACTCTTCCGCATCCCTCACTCCTTTATCACAGAGAGACTGAGAGAAAGAGTTTAGAACTTGACCAACAATTACTGTAGGTCAAGTTCAGGTGCAACAAAATTTCATTGAAGAATAATGCTGGCCAATATAGGATTTAATAAGCTCATTATACATGAAGTTAGTGCTGATCTATATATATATATATATATATATTTTAAACCGTGAATATAACTATTTCAGAGGATCTTTTAAATTGGCTGTTTTGTTTCCTAAAGACCATAACATTACACTAGTTCTGCAATTATCATCATCATCAATACTTTTTTTAAGCTACATCACCCAGCTCTACCAATGACCACTTTATGCTCATCACCGTGAGCTTTGGAAGTTCTGCTATGGCATAAACTGCTTAGACTAGTCTTACAAGTTAGTTATTTCTTTCTTTTTTTCTTCTAGCCATGCTAGCCAAAACTTTTTAAAGTCCTTTACATAAAACCGCAAATTGATTTAATTTAAACCTGAAAAGTAAGACTGATTACCACTTGGCTAACTGCTAATTAGTCAGACTAGGCACAGTCTTAACATAGTGTCTTAAAGGGATACTCCACTTTTTTTTTTTTTTTTTTGGGGGGGGGGGGGGGGATAGGCTCATTTTACCACTCCCCCAGACAGTGTTGTAGTACTCGATACTCGGACTCGTCTCGGACTCGGTCTTGAGACCATATTTTAATGGTCTTGGTCTTGTCATGGACTCGCGTGCATTTGGACTCGGAATTGACTCGTACTCGAACATTTTTTTTTTAGGACTCGGACTTATTCCCGAGTCCACTCGAGTTCAATTGAAACATATTTTTCATGATTATTAATGTATGTTAATAAAATATTTCTTTAAATTGATTGACACGCTCAGTGATTGGTGATTTTCTAGTGCGCAACTGTGCATGACAAATTGTAATAAAATTACTTTTAACACCACCTACTATGTGGCCTTTTTACCCTAAACTGATCATATTTTTTCAACTAAGTAAATTTAAAAGTAAATTAGGTAATCAACCCTCACTGGTCTCGGTCTCGACTCGGACTCGACTGTCTCTGGTCTCGGACTCGACTCTCTATGGACTCGGTCTTGACTCGGACTCGACTCTCTCTGGTCTCGGTCTCGACTCGGACTCGAGTGAGGTGGTCTCGACTACAACACTGCCCCCAGAGTTAAACAGTTGAGTTTTACCGTTTTCAAATCCATTCAGCCGATTTTCTGATATTTAGAAGAATATCAGTAACCAGACAGTTTCTCATTAACTTCCATAGTAGGAAAAAAATATACTATGGAAGTCAATGAGACCAGAAACTGTCTGTTTACTGATATTCTTCTAAATATAAAAAAAAAAAAAAAAAAAAAAAAGACTGAATGGATTCAAAACCGGTAAAACCCAACTGTTTAACTCTGGGGGAGTGGTAAAATGAGCCTATTTCCAAAAAAAAGTGGAGTATCCCTTTAACATTGATACAACTGACCACTGGATGGCATGCGGTCCCAAAACAAATCAGACCTTAAGGTACCGAAAGAAAAAATACGTATGTTTTTAAGATCATTGCTGTCAATTTTGATTAATAGGGTACTCGGGCACATCCCTATTTACAGAAAACCTACATGTTCAAAAAGTCAAACCGTTTAAGCATGAAATAAGCTTTTTTTGTACGAGATCATGGTTATGGCGGAGTGGAATATTTAAGGAACGGAAAAATAAAACTGAATTATATAAAAGGAAATAAGCAAGGACACCAAAGAAAAAATTGTAGTAGTTGTTGCATAATAAATCAGTCAGACGGATACTAAATACCCAGTGAAATGAACACACACACACACACACTAATCAGAATCAAAAGCCTCCTCCTTGAGAATCCAGAACAATAATCAAGACTTGACATTCAGATCTGACTTTTTTTTGTATGAATAAAGCACACAATCTATAAAGCAACATGTAAGGCTGAGAATGGCCACTTACGGAATACACTTTGGGTAGTGTGGACACTTTGGAGGGTTTGGCTCCAAATAGACGTGGTGTGATGCCTGTGGAAAGGCGCGAGCAACCTTCTGACCTTCTGAAACCCCTTGGTAGAGTGGCAGATATGCGTGCTCCCCCTGCATAAAAACTCTCTAGGAAACTATCGCGGCGGCTGAAGTCTGGACCCCGCTGCTCGTAGGGTTCAGAGACAACAGCTGCTGGAGAGTTAAAGAATTCACCGGTGCACGTTTGGGCTGAGTCGGGCGTCTCTATGTCAGTGCCTCTGGTCAGAGAAGATGATGTCCCGTTCGTGAGGGGTGAAGCCGAGGTGGTTGACCATCCAGTTAGACTAGCGCTTCTGACACTGGACCCTGCATCACTCATGGGTCCAGGCATGTTGGAGCTGGAAGAGAGTGAACCAACAGGAATGAATGTCTGATCTGATCCTAGGGGGTTAAGGATGTGGCAGGACTCTACTAGAAAGCACATGGCTGATAATGGAAGGGGAGAGGGGGTGGAGAGGGCTTGGAGGACAGGTGTAACTATCAAATGTCTCTATTAGCCACACGTGAACACCAAGTGGTAGAGCACTTTAGAATTTGATATCACTTTAATAGTATTTTTTTAATCTAGGTGGATGCTAATATACGTCTTCATTGTTAAAGGTGCATTCAATAGTTTGATGCTAATTTGAAAAAGTTTTACATTAAAAAATGAATTGCTTTTATGAAGAGGCATCTGAATGGCGTACACTCAAACTAAGATGAAGGCTGTTCTGTCGTAGTTGTCTTTTAAAAAAATATATGTGGTGCAGATCTGAAGGCAGAGGACAAAGACAAACAAAAAAACAAGATAATGACAGAACATTCTGAGTAATAACGCCAAGGAGGTAGCTTCTTTTTGTTAGCCAGATAAAGGAGCCATTATGTTAAGCCAGATAAAGGAGCCATTATGTTAAGCCAGTGTCTTAAGATCCATGACCCACTAGCAGTTACTTTTTGGGATCTAATTAAACCAATCTTTATTTTATGTAACTGACTCCAAAAAGTTATGCAGTCTTAAATAAAAAAAAAAAAAATTCTTAACTAACTTTTAACGGGTCCCAGCATTGTGTGCATTGCAAACAGCATTGTGTGAACGTTACTTAAAGCAGCACTATGCAGGATTTCCGTTTTTGTCAAACCGTGACACCTGTAGAGTCGCTTTGTAGTACTTGTACTATCCTAAATAGCACTCATGCTGAGATGTCTCTGCACTCACGGCCTCAAAATTCAACCCGAAAATAGTCATGTAACCATTGCAATAACTCTGAGCTATTCTGTTATGGTAAAAAAAAAAAAAAAAAAAAAAAAAAAAAAAAAACTGCATAGTGCTGCTTCAAAAGAACATTAGCAGCGATGCAAATGCTAGCTAAAGAACTACTGAATTGCCCTTTAATCTGTTCGTTTATTAATACACTATTGTAAATTTTAATTGGAACTTCAAAATGTATATGGACATCATTCAGATTAATAAATGCTGTAAATGGAGTTCAGGGTTTTTGCATTTTTTATGAATGAAATTAAGAATTTAAGACCCGCAGAAACCCTGGTAGTAACTAATACAACTATATGCTTACATAATAATAACTAATTAATTACTAACTAACTAATAAACTAATCTATATTACAGACTAAGGGAATTTACCAAACAGTTGAACTTTTGTGGTACGTCAGTGCAAATTACTAGCACTTTTTTATGCACAAACATGCCTCCTAGGTAAATCTAGCATATAAATTCACAAAAATCATAATTCTGTTATCATCCATCATCATGATTTTCAAAACCCACATGACCTTCTATCATGAACACAAAGGGAGTTAAAGGACAAGTTCGGTAATTTGCTCTAAACAGCCCTGTTTTAAGATGGTTTCTGATTAAATAGAACGGTTAAGAATAAAATTTGGACACATGCTGCTGGCCCGAGAATTTTCGGTTACTGTGGGGTTTTTTTTGGGGGGGGGGTTTCCCACTAACTATCACGCAATAAAAGATAATGTTTGAGGGAAGTAAGTCATTTTTTCATGTGAAATATTAGGATATAGACACGTTATGTCCAAAGTTCGTAATAGACAACTATCCGGTAAATCATGTAACTCCGAAATCTTATTGATGAAATCAATTGAGTCCGAAATATAAGATGGTAACGAAAAAACAAAAGGTTTTATAAAGAAATCAACATACTGAGATAAGAGAGAGTTAGTCTGTGCCACAATAGGGTGACCTGTAGGATCAATGATCAATGATTCTTATACATTTTGGGAAGAGAATAAAAAACAGGTCTAATCGGGTGTTGACAATATAAAAATGTAAACTCCGATTGAGATATCCAACCTCATGTTTTAGTATTTGTTAAAAAAGCCAATATTTCAGATTGATACATATCTGTGGGATCTTTTAGAAGTTTTTTTTTTGTAAAACTTTTTATTCTGTAATTGTAAAAGAACTTCTATTTACTCGCATCCTGAACTACAATCGCACCTCCTTTTTCCACAGATTTTATAACAATGTTTGAGTCATTCATAAAATCTGTCAAAGCTTATTTCTTATTAGATGAAAGATGATTGTGATAAATTTTTACTAAAGGAGCAAATTTGTAAAGCATGTACAACCAAGCAACAAAACGTATGAATATTATGATTAGAAACATTCGGGCAGAAATGACAGTACTTCTTGGTCTAAACGGTGTCCTAATAGCATCTGAATCTGATTTAGAAAATAAATATTAGTTTTTCGGAGAGTCATGTACTGAATGCAAAAAGTAATCCTTTCTATTCACGCATCATCAAATAGTATAGGTATATTGACTATATATTTTGTGTTTCAGGAGATCAAGATGAGGCTTGAGAATGTCTTTTTTGAATAACTTGGTTGATGACTTTAATACTTTAATTCTTCAAAAGTACATTCCCTTGATATGTGGGTATAAAAAAACGAAGGTAACTTAATTACAACTAGTGTATCCGACTTTCAGTAAAAAAAGAATTGCCTAAGAGTCAGTTCTATAGACTGAGGATAATTTGTCACTGAACCTGATTTTATTGAAAAATTAACTATTATGAAAAATAAATTCTTGAATAGAGGTTACCCTTTAATATATATTTGTGGTTTAAGTAGAACAATTCCTTTAAAAAAAATTCTACTTTTGAACAGATTCAAAGTGCATTGTCGTGAGTAAAATACATTATAGTATAAACACCTCTCCTCCCGCCCTCCGGTAAGCTGTGCAGTCCTGATGGCACTGGTCCCTCCCGCACTCATAAGTTCAATCTGCTCCCTCTCCTCGCGCTTTCTGTGGAGGTCAGAGTTTGTGCTCCGCCGCCGGCTCTTCCACTTGTTCAGATCCTGCAATGTCAGAGGTGAAAATAAAGTGATAAATGAGAAAATATGTTTGAAAAAAAAAAAAAAAAAAAAAAAAAACACCTGTCAGACAATAATATCAGTAGTGTTATGTGTGAATGATTGTAGACGGGTAAAAGGACTCTCCAAGGACAGTTGAAAACATTTCTGCTATTATTTGGCTCGCCAAGTCCCCCCACGGTGCCAATCCAGAAGTAGCAACATCATGGAGAAAACTTGATGCGCATGCAATACTTTATGGAATAACACAGAAAATGACATCAGAAATGTTTAAGTTAATGGCTAACATAAGTTTGTAGAGGGACTATTTGTTTAAAAAAAATAGCACACGGTTGTTCAAAAGAGTCATTATTTTTGCAATTATATAGGGTTGTAATACTTAAATGAATAGAGGCATTAGCAGTAGTTTAAAGGTGAAGAATTGAAATAAAATATATTTAGAGAAAATGTCTTGAAAATCCATAGAAACAAAAATTGTTTGGTTAACAAGATTGCGTCAGTCAGTCAAAAGTTTAGAACAATCAGTGCGAATAAATGACACTTGTAATTGATTCAAACTATTCCTTTAAAGTCAATTTCATTCCTTAAAACTAATCTTTGATCACCAAAATTACATATTTAAATTTTTTTTCCTTGAAAGAAAAATTATCCACACCTTAAGATGTTGTGAATGTTACTCTACACCCTTGCCTCATTTAGTATATGGCAGCTGCTCACATCTCAGTCTGCCTGACAGACATTTCTTCCTTACTAAAAGTGGACGTGCACCCGGAAGCCAAAAATGGCGTATGTCAAAAACTGTTTGTACGCTAAAACCTGCGCATAATTCACTTTCCCGGTCAGCCGAAGATTGTGCCAACACAGTCTCATCCCAAGTTGTCATATAACTGATATATATAACTGACGTCTTGGGACGTCTTTTGACCATACGTCAACATCCGCCTTTTTAGGGTACCCTTAAATGTCGGTTAGTTGATGATCCCGGGCCGTCATACAACTGACGCTTTACCGTTAACGTCAGTTAGGTGACGGGGTAGGTTTAGGGGTAGGTTTAGGTCTGGGGTAGGGTTAGAATCATCGTCATCTAACCGACATTTAAAGGTACCCTAAAAAGGCGGATGTTGACATATGGTCAAAAGACGTCAGTTATATGACATCCTCATCTGCATATCATTTGCATATGATTATTCATCCACGTGATACCATGTTAAGGTACAAGACGTTAGGGAAATATGAAGTACAGATTTTTTTTTTTTTTAGTAGCCTATATCCTTGCCTTGTTTTTGAATGAATAAATCGATTTTCTCAATCTTTTCCACTGGCCAAATAGTATTTAATTAATTTATATTTTAATGGAAACATATAGACATGGTTGTGCATTATTTGCATGGAACTATTTTCTCAGACAATCTGCTATTATCATGATTAGCAATTATCTCTAAATGAAACATTAAAACACAGCATGCCAGAGGAAAAGTGTTCAAAAACATTGTATCCACAACAAATATTTATTTTTGAATATATATATACTGTATATATATATATATATATATATATATATATATATATATATATTACTTCTCAGTAATGATTTCATGTAGTTAAAGTGTTTAACTCCATTTATGAGAATGGTATATTTAATCTAAATGTTTGTCAAATCATTCTTTCATTTATTTAAACTTATTGAGAACATGCAATGTATTTATCATGAGGACTCATGAAGATTCCTCCATAAGATCATAGGCTATATGTGCGTAAGTTTCACTAAACGGCCCAACACGCTTGCTGGCATGGACATTTAATGAGGGATGGATATTGGCTTCAAGTGATAGGCTTGGTGAGTGAAATTATATTTGTAGGCTATTATCTTTCTGTAGCATATAGGCTCTAATTTTCTTTAGATTTTCAGTCTAAAAGTGACCAAAAAGATATTTAACTCCAGCTCACCATCTGTGTCGCCTTAAAAGGTTAGCTAGTGATAAATCAAAGCTAGCAGTAAAGGGCCTTTTGTCTGTGGAAATCTACTGAGAAGCTCTGCAGGGAAAAGAACATTGAAGAGCAATATAAAGATTGCCCATTTCTTCCTGTCTGTGTCTCACTCACTCCACAGTTACTGCCGTGTTGGCGACTGGGCCAATTCTTGCAAGAATAAATAATTCTCTTTTAATAATAAGATTCAGAGTTGTCTCTTACGCAGTGATGATGTTTAACAGATTTTTTTTTTGCCATAACAGTCACTTTGGATAAAAGAGTCTACTAAATGATTACTATGTAATATGAATATGCAAATTAGCCCCACCTCCAGTCACATCAGCTCAGAAATCCACTCATTGACGATCACACGGTAGATTGTGATATCAGAAACGTTTTTTTTTTTTTTTAAGGAAAATACTCAGCAATGGTGTTGACTATGAATTTGGACATGGTTTGTCAAATTATAATCGGTGTGTTCAGTAGTTCCACCAGCGTGACATAAAATGTGTTTCTCAAATAACTAAGCATCACTCACTTCGTGCCACTTGGCCTCACTTTCCTTCATTCTGGCCCTTATGTTCTGTAACTGCTCATGTTGAACTCTCTGTATGGCTGAAGGTTCAAGGGTCAGCTCTCCAACAGACCTCTGGTGAACGTGGCGTGACCCCAGTCGGTCAAAGCTGGAGCAGTTGTCAGATTCCTGGGGTATGGGATCCAATGGGATGTCACCCATGGATTTGCTTCTGTTGAAAGGAGATGTACATGGTTATTTAAAAGCTAATCTCCATACCAAATACCAAAAGATTGCAATGTTGGATTTTGCAGAAGTACAATTGGGTTATACTGACATCTAGAGGTTAAATAAGACCTGCTACAGTACCGTGCGTCCATTCAAGCCTCATCAAAGACGCATAAAGCAAATAAAGAGTCAAGCATAAACTCACATTACATATAGTCCCCATTTGCTTAAAGCTCAAAGACCCATCAATGAAGGACAAATAATCAATATAATACTAAGATGCAATATATAACAAGTGTATGCATTAAAGCTTACACCATAAAACAAAGATAAACTTCTGCACAGTACTGCAGAGACACACATAAAGCACTACTATAGCATGCAGCCCTTTCTAAAAAAATTGTATTGATCAATTAGTCATTTATTACAAAAAAAGCACATTTCAACAGAAAATGCAGGCTGGAAAATGAAAACACAAATGCAAAAGATATCCAGCGTTTGCTAGCACAAGATGACACCAGCACTGAAGCAACAAATGCTCAACTCACCCAGGGTACCGAGAGCGTCTGATGGGAAATCTGGGAAACCATGGAAATATTTGATTGTAAATTCCTCTTTATAGTACAGATGAACAAAGATTTCCTTTTTCTCCCCATGGAAAATCACTTAAATAATAGTTCACATACAAATACAATTACCCACCCACGTGGGACCTGGGACTAAATGAAACTTTGCCAACATTTTTTCTTTGGTCTTACTCAACACCAATGGTACAGTTGCTGTTTTCCATGCAATTACAAATGAATGAAGACAGGCTTAGTGAACTATTCAATTAAATGTAAAGTACATATTATACAATAGTGAATGCAAATAAGAGTCTCGGAGAAGAAAGCTGCAAAAATTCACACAAATGGCACGTTACTGAGCTGGGGGGTTGTTGGCCCATAAAATTTAACAAGTTGATTTGACATTTCAAGTTGCTTGACTTCACACTCTAGCATATCAGAAAGTCACAAAAAATGTGTGTATGAAAAGGTGTATAAAAAAGCTATTTCCAGTTGTCATGACTCCATTAACAGAATTTGTAACATTAAACCAGCAACAGTTAACATTTTTAACTGAAATCTGTAAGACTAATCCAGCAAGTAACGTCCACGGAATGGCCACAGACGTGTTTTTTTTTTTTTTCTTCATAAAGCCCTTGGTTTCATAAAGCGATTTTTCATAAAGCCCTTGATTTAAAGGCAGAGTAGGGGATTTGTTCCAAAAACCCATTTTGTTAGGTTGGTTGAAGGCGTCATCACATCCTGAACGAAATCACTAAGTTAAGCGGTCTAAATATATTAATATGTATACATACATCATCTGTGGAAAGCATAAGACCACAAAATGTTCGCCCAATCACTGCATTAGGTCCGAATGCATTGATAGGATATCCCTGCCTGTCAAAGTATGTATTCCCATACCTCCTCACACCCTTTTTGTGTAGAAATCACACATCATCAGAGGGCCGGGTTTCACACTATGCAGAGTTAGACAGATCTCAGTCACCGAGCACCGAAACTGACACTGCAGCCACCTTTTACAGGTCCTCCTGAACCAAAACAATGAGTTTATGCTGTGTTCACGCCATAACTACTAAAATTTGGAAGAGATGGAAACCTGTGATGTGATACTCGCAGCGGTTAATTACTCGAATTTATGCATTTCAATGGCAACTATCAATGCCAAAATTAACCTGCAGCAGTCAGGTGGTACAGGTCAGTGCTTTCTGTTGTTTATGTTCATTATTATTGTATAGTTATTGCTTTGATACATGAAGTAGTTTAACACCATCTCTGGTGTCATGATGCTCTGCAAACTCATGTACCGTGTTATGTGTTTTGAATGAGAAGGGGCTTTGGAGATGCTCTAAAGGGAGGGTGGGATCTCATGCTCTTAAAGCTAACTTGCCATTACTCACCGTTCTGAAAATTGCCTACCCTACCTTTAAAATGTAAACTACAGCAAAACAACCAATAACTGTTTTAAAGTGCTCTAGGTTTCTTTTAATTGTGTCTTATAGGAGCTACTGCACAAATGCAATCTTAAGGACTGTTCACACAGGACATGTGCTAGCATTCTTTAGCATTCTTATCCTATATAAATGTGCTAGATGGACTACTCTTTATCCATGCTTGGGTTAAGTCATCTCACACGACATCTATAAATAAATAGGTCTACCACTGAAATTACAACCCAATATTTAATGGATGTTACCAATTTAGCTACAATGTGCTACAGTCTCAAGATGGCCACAACTGCTACATTGGCCTTATAGCGTTAGTTCACCCAAAAATGAAAATTCTGTCAGTATTTACTCACCCTCATGTTGTTCCAAACCTGTATGTGTTTATTTGTTCTGTTGAACACAAAGGAAGATATTTGGAGGAATGTTTTAATCACACAGATCTCATTCCCCATTGACTACCATAGTAGGAAAAAATACATACTATGGTAGTCAATGGGGATTGAGATCTGTTTGATTAAAACATTCTTCCAAATATCTTCCTTCGTGTTCAACAGAACAAATAAACACATAGAGGTTTGGAACAACATGAGGGTGAGTAAATACTGACAGAATTCTCATTTTTGGGTGAACTAACTCTTTAAAAATCAAGCTTCATTAAAAAGGAAGCAAAGTTTTGATGCAAACATGCATAGTATGTGCTGTATAAACTGCTTGCACTTGCTAAAACTCTGCTACATCAATATTGCAAACAAATGTTTTATCAAAATTAAGCAAAGCTTTCAATATTACACAGATTTTTTATGAAGAACATTTTAATACAGACATTATCTGCATTTAATTAGTATTACAATATCCTTCTCCAAATATATATATGCTTGTGTTAACTCCAATGCACTCCTGCACAAGAAAATAAAAGCGCAAGAATGGCTCAAAAGTTGTGGGGGGATTTGGGATCATGAAAAAAGTTTGGAGCAGGTGCAGCTAGCCAAGGGGTGATGTCAAAATCAGTGTCGTCCTCAGAAGAACCAGACATCTTTCGGCTACAGAAAGGAGAGACAGAGAGTAAGAAAAAAAGGAGAAAGCAAAAGCAGAGGAAAAGAAAAAAAAGGGAAAAGACAGGGACATTTAGTGTTTTTCATTATGAGTAGAATTTATCGTAATTTTTCTATAATAAGCGTTTCAAATTAAGACAAAAATGTATGGTCAATTCTCTAAAAATATATTGACTAATCCATGAGTCAGCAATAATTTTCATAAATGTAAGCTGCATTTATGAAATGTAAACAAGGACTGCTAACTTGACACAGTGACTCAAGGGTTGAGAAATGTATTTTCCAGAATTCCAACTGTCCTATAAAACTAAAAAAAAAAATGACCCTCTTTCTCTGTATGATAAGACAAACCTGAAGCCCTGCATCTTCTTATACCATGGTCTGCGCTGGGACCCTAGCTTGATCTTTTGCACATGTAGAGCCTCCTCAGGGGTCCAATACTTGGGCAGGAACCTGTCTGAATCAGCATTGATGGAGGTCTGGTGCTCGGAGATGAGCACTCGACGTGCGTAAAGATCGTCCAGCACTGGATCGGCATAACCTCGGTCCTCTTCGGAGTCACTCGTGCCATTGTTCAGGGATCGCTGAAGAAACTCTTCCTCCAAAGTAGCAGATTCACATTCTGGGGATCCATTTTCAGAAGGAATGGAGGACACACTGCTTCCCAAGAAAGAGCCATCCATATGAGATGAGCAAAATGTCTCCAAGAAGCACATGCATGGACACATGCAGTGGCCTGTTGCATGAAGCTAGCTAAACCAGAGTTTCTGAAGGATTGGATTTGACAAAGCCATGCACATCAAACCTGGTTTAGATCAGGTTGAGTTGGCTCACAGCACTCGGTATAAACGTTCTGTCAACTCAGGTTTGATCTAGAGTTTGTGATTAACTCAAGAGCGTGTGCACCTGAAAATGTGTCATGTGATCTGAACAGCCAATCACATGGAACATAGAAAGCAAGAGAGAATTCACTTGACACAATTCACTTCTCTGCTGACAATTAGGAGATAAAAAAATATAAATGAGTTTGAAAACGCATTATCAAGGCAAGAATAAACACTGCTGAAGTAAAAATACACTGTAAAAAATATTTTCAAGATTTGTTATCACAACATATGAAGAGTTCAGATGCAAAAGCCTCTAAATGCCATTTGAAATTTTCTTCTTTAATGATGATTTTTATCAAACTTGTATATTTAAGTTCAGTAATTTCACTTAAATAACAATTAATATGTAATTATCATTGCCATTTAAGTGAAATAACTGAACTTAAATATACAAAAGCTTGATAAAAATGATCATTCTAGAAGAAAATTTCAAATGGCACTTAGAGGCTTTTGCATCTGAACTCTTCATATTTTCTTTTGTCTAATCAACTTTATAATAATTTATTTAGTTGAGATAACTTATTATTTTGAGTTTCTGATGGTTAAATTAATCTACTTCATTGTATTAACTCACTTTTTCCAGTTTAATCAACTTAAAATTAACGCAACCCAGGTTACTTACTTTTTTAAGTTAAACCAACAGTATTTTTTTACAGTGTAGTAATCACAACATTTTTTCTTTTGTCAAATCAACTAAAATAAATTTATTTAGTTCAGATAACATATAATTTTGAGTTTCTGATGGTTAAATTAAGCTCCTTCATTGTATTAACTCACTTTTTCCAGTTCAATGAACTTAATTTTAAGGCAACCAGGTTACTTACTTTTTTTAAGTTAAACCATCAATATTTTTTTACAGTGATGAGAAAGCTACTGAAAAAAAATATCTTACTATCTATGCAAGTGAATCAACTGAATTTAACAGTTATTGACTTTTACTAAAATTGTGTCACTTACAATCCCCTGTGGTTAATTATTTAGATAAAACCAGATTAAAAATCATGGCATTTCTACCTAAAACAGCCAGCAGGTCAAATTCACCTACAGTAAATAATGCCTTTATTTTCATGCTGTTTGAGCAACGTGTAGCCTTTCTGTAAACAGTCACAGAAAGCATGTTCAAATGAAGAAGTTGTAGCCTTTTCTTCAACTTTGAATAAATAATATATTTTTTGTTTAGCAATTTTTATAGTGTATTGTTCACTACTTTGTTGCTACTTGCCATTTATTCAAGTCAGCCGTTTTCTGAAGAAGAAAAAAAATCTAATCTATGATGTAATTAACAGTTTATTGGTACACCACCCAAATATTCATTTATTTCCTTCTAATTCTCATTGTCATTGTAGGATGATTAAGCCTATCTTCAGTGATCAGTGTAGTAGCCTACTTAAAATAGCCTTGAACAAAACAACAAGACAAATACAGTTGATGAGATGACTAAAAAAAATAATCTCTAGATGTTACATTGTGAAGACAATGGCATAATACGGTGACTTAATACTTTTTCTAGGCATATCAAAACAGTAGTCGTGCATCAAATTGGCTTTATGCACAGCTGCATTACTTCCTGAACTTCAGCCAGCTCCTTGTTTCCTGTCTGCCATTATTGGATAAACTTGATTAATTCAGGTGTGTCTGATGATTGTTGCCGTGACTACTGAGGTCAGGCACACCTGAATTAATCAAGTTTGTACAATAATGGTAGACAGGAAACAAGGAGCTGGCTGAAGTTCAGGAAGTAGTGCAGCTGTGCATAAAGCCAATTTTTACCCGCTGGCACGGTTTTAGGTATCGACCCCTGGCGGTTCAACACCAAGGAACTTTTCCTCTGCGGTTGCCCTACAGGTTAGAAGCGGAATTGTCATCATTAGAACTACAGAAACGGGACCGATCCGGCAATCTTACACAGCGTGGATATACCAGATAAAAGGACCGCAAAGCAGGGGCATAAGTGCATTTCACCATGTCACGACTTGATGAACCACTGAAACGATTTTGGAAACATTATTTGAAAGTAAAAAAAAAAAAATCCTACTTAAGTGTTGCTTTAAATGATTCACAAAGAGCTTAAGAGCTTTATACATTTATATGTACTTGTATGCATGTATATATATATATATATATATATATACACACACACACACACACACACACATATCATAATTTCACTGAATTATAAATAATTATAATTCATATAAAATATAAATTTTTTCTCACCATGAACTGCTTTAATTTGGAGCTAGAGATACAGTGGGAGTGGCTTTAATGCATCAGATACTATATGTCGCTTTGCTGCAGCTGATTGGTCAATGTTTGGTTTGTGATCTCTAAACCCTCAGGAGCAGGTTAGCCATGGAGTGCAAATTATCTTGGCAGTGAACACAGCTAAAAACCAATCCACCTTCTTGATCCCGAAAAAACTTACCTACTAGGAACTGAAACCAGCTTCGTGCAACAGGCCTAAGAACTGTTAACCGCTCTTTTATTTTTAGTGCTAGTTAGTGGAATGCACAGCGACATCAAACCACAATTAGTTCTGGTAATGAGAAGAATGATCAGCTAATTAGTGAAGACCCACACAATGCCAACATGATTCTTGAAATCGAAAGATCAGGCAAAGCAATAATGCTTCCAAACAAACTCCAGAGTTGAACGCGAGTATAGGAAAAACTAAGCACATCTTCTAAATTAATAAGCCTATTTTTTCGCAATCAAGACAATTGCATTTCATGAGCAAAACAAAGTGGTTAGGACCAGTTGGATGTTCATAAGCACAAATATTAGGGCACCACTGCACACTCTAAAACTCTGACCTCTGGTTTGATCTCTGTGGTGGCACTGCAGCTAGCCGTGAGGCATCTGAAAAGGTGAGCCATGACTTCCTAGCATTTGGGGTCACCATAGTGGCCACCCTGGGGCCCGAGGGCTTTGAAGGGATCGCAAAGTTCACGGGGGCCATAGAAGTTACAGAGCGAAATCTGCGACTTGCTAGGTCATCCTGCACAAGGTCTGGTTCAGGGTGGTCCGTGTCAGAGTCACTGTCACTCTGGTAACTGCTTGCCCATTGGAGGAAGGCAGAAGCAGGTGGGAGGTTGTGGCATAAGCCCCGCCCACTTTCACTACAGCCAAAACATGAGGTGGAGAGACTAAGAAAACCACCTCGAATTACACGGAGAAAAGGTGTCCTAGGCAAAATCGTTAACAATTAACCGAAGAAAATTATTTTATATGCACATTTTTTAAATTGTTATACCAAAAGTATATACATGTTTAAATGGAAAGAAATTTGAAATTGAGGCCATTTTAAAATAAAAAACACTAAAAGTATTTTAAATGGTATTCAATGTCCTGATGATTAAATTAAAATTAATAGGAATGTATTGCAGTTTTTATATATTAGCAACACAAAAGTAGTTAAATTATGCCGGATATTTAAGAATCTTTACAGCCTTTTCAGAAATTTAGATGAGTGAATATAGAACATTTTTAAACTTTAGAACCCACTGACACCCTGCTGAATATCGGTTATAAGCTTAGCAAAATGTGTCATCCAACATTTTTATGCGGAGTCAGTTTCTGAAGCGAAAGTGTGCCAGAATAGAGTATCATACCTGATGAGGTGGCCGGCATAACTCCTGTCTCCCTGCTGGTGTTCCTGTCTTTTTTTCCTCAGGGCAGATGGGACATGCACCCTTCCTCTGATGGGGGCATCATTTTTACTGCCTTCCGCCATCCTGAAGCAATGTTCAGCTTCTGCGTCACTAAAGCAACCTGGGAGAAGACCAGAGCAAAAAAGAAAAAGGATTCCATATAGACATTTACATCGATAGACTGACGGTATAATTTATTTGCTTTTGGTGTACTGTAGAGTGGGTAAAACTGTTTTAATGGCAGGCTAGCAGATACCGTTGACTCATGCTAGCCTATTGACTAACTGGAATGACTGGATGAAAATTTTTGAAAACTGTCTCCACTGATAAATAACCCCTTTAATAATACACATCTTTTTTTTTTAAGTGAATAATACACATCTTTTTTTTTTTAAGTGTGCAAATTAGTTTTGCTGTGGTAGCCTACCGTTATTACTTTCAATTGTGAAATTATGCATTGTGAAATTATGCATTGTGAAATTTCACGGCTATTGCATTCAACTGACATTATCATCATGACAACACTACTAGAGCACCAAACAGCCTTCCATGCAGTAATGCAGTCTTTTAGGCACAAGCCTGCCTTCATTTAGCAGCAGCTCTGTGCATTACCAAATGGGTGTGGAACGTTTGGGAATGTCACACTTACGTGAATGGATGGAGCGAAGGGACAAGGTCTAGGCACTGAACTTTCATTACCAAGTGTTTGAGAGATGCAATATCGAAGTCACAAAGTAAACAAGACACTGTGATTTTGGTGATAAAATTTGGAAATATTTAAGCATCTGTATGGACCAACATGCCCCAAAGAAAATGTTTGATGATTTTGCTCATTTGAAATCTGATCGATTGCTCAGTCAGACTGAAAAGCCTTCATGTAAACATTTCAATCAATCCAACTGAGCTTGATTCGAATGGATTCCCATCAGATTAAAACTGGTTGTGTGGATCTTAAATTTGTTAAATATGAAAATATGTAAACCTCTGACTCCACCCACTCTCTCAAATTCAGTGTCATGGTGTACGTTAATGTCATGTGAATGTTCACGTTTATGTATTTACCTAGATCTTTTAAAATGGTCAGTGGAAGAGACTACATTTGTGCAAAACATTGCTAAAAGGCATGTCTGATTTATTTATTTATTTTGATGTCACAGTTAGTTGCAGTGAAATTCTCACGTGTTCCTTGTTTTTGACTGATGGGACTACATATGCACAGAAATTTAGTTTGAAATGGATGTAATGGCCACAAACAACCATTTTAAATTAGATTGCAAAGTTTAGGGTGCGCACACTACCATTGAAAAGTTGTGGGTTGATACGATTAGTAGTATTTTACACTTATTAAGTCTGCATTTATTTGATCAAAATACATTCTAAAATAACTGTAAAAAAAGTTCAGTTAAATATCTAAAATAATGGATTTCTATTTTAATATATTAGTCTTCAGTGTCACATGATCCTTCAGAAATCATTTGAATCTGCTGATTTGATAAGAAATATTTCTTGAGCATCAAGTGTGAAAGCAGTTGTACTTAATTTTTGTGTAAACTGTTAAGTTTTATTTCAGAATTCTTTGAATAGAAAGTTTTTAAAAAATCATGTTTAAAAGTTTTTCACAATGTAAAAGTATTCACTGTTACATTTAATCAACTGAATTCATCCTTGCTGAATACAATTAATCTAGTGATTTTTTAATTAGTTTCTGAATCTAGTGTCTTTTTATTTAGCTTTTTAAATCTAGTGCATGAACTTGAATGGAATTGGATTCATTCAGAATGATGTTAATCAGTAATGACGTTAAACATACAAGTTCTAACTGTGATGACCAGATTAAAAAGAGCACACTAGTACAATAAAAAGGAATAATAATTAAATATCCGTAAAAATTTCTCTCATTTAACAGACAGACACATCTTACCTTCACTGCCGGCTCTGATGGTGCCGTCTGAAGCCACACGGAGTGGGCGAAACTCCACTGAGTCCAGGCTCTCGACTGAGTCCTCCCTCCTGTAGCCTGATTGCTTCAAACTTAACAGATCCTCCCGGTCAGAAAACCAACCCTCCACGTACCCACTGTCCCTCACACTCGACTTGGACTGCACAGACTCCACCAGAGCCTGGTAGAAGGTGAACAAAGAGCAGAAAACTTCAGAGTGGGATGGGAAAAGGCAAATAAGTGAGTTTTAGTGAATAGACTTGAGGTCCAGTGGACTTTTACAGCAGTTTTTCCATTTCGCTGACTGAAGAAATGACCTCCACCCTGAGCAATATGTCAGTCAGTGCGCTGATAATTATTATACGAGGACCAACAACACAGACTTACGCCTGAATGAACCATTTTATCAGTGGCCAAAATGCATGGGGAGTTCTGGACCTGCATGACATCCTTAGTGAACACACAATGCATGAGTAATTTAATGAATCTGACTACAGAGGGGCTTATCTGACTTATTGGAATTGTTACAATGCATAAACACTGATAGGATGAGAATTAATGCTAACAAATTGTAAAAAACTATGTGAAATGTTTTAATTAAACGAGGCATTTTAAGCTCTATACAATTGACAATTTATCGTTTGCAAAACCACTCTCAGACTTGTTTACTTTATAAATATGTTGTATAATATGTCGATTTAGCTTGAAAATATTACCTATAAAGCCAGAGCAGAAGTGAGCGAATCAATTGGGTGAACCAATGATTCAATGGTCCATTCATTAAGAGGGCCATTAGATGTGTTTTACTTAAAGCAGCATATATATATATATATATATAGAGAGAGAGAGAGAGAGAGAGAGAGAGAGAGAGAGAGAGAGAGAGAGAGAGAGTCGTGCTCAGAATTAATGGGACACCTGGTAAATATGATGAAAACTGGCTGTAAAAAATAATTCTGCATTGTTTATCCTTTTGATCTTCCATTCAAAAAAAATGGCAAAATTCTAACCTTTCATTGAAGCAAAAGAATTGAAAGTGGGGGTAAATCACACTATGAAATAAATGTTTTTCTCCAAAACACTCTGGCCATAATTGTTGGCACCCCTAGAATTTTTTATGAGAAAAATATCTCTGAAGTACATTCCCATTAATATTTAATTGTTTAAGCACATCAGGGTGACTAGGAACATGAAATTGTCCAGCTATGACTTCTTGTTTCAAGGAGTTTAAATATGAGGAAGCACAAAGGTCAAATTCCCTGAATCATCCATCACAATGAATAAAACCAAAGAACATGGTTCTGATGTAAATCAAAAGATTGTTGAGCTTCACAAAATAGAAAGTGGATGTAAGAAAATAGCTAAAGAATTGAAAATCCCCATTTTGACCACCAGGACAATAATTAAAGGTGCATTGCGCAACTTTTCATGTTAAAAATAGCCGTTTTCTAACCCATACATGCTTAAACAATCGCCTGATGGGCTGAATGAGCCCTTCTTTGATCACTGCGATCGCCTCTATAACCCTGTACAGTGAAATATATAAGAGGGATTCGGGCTCGAATCTGAGACTGGGCGTGACGTCATGCGCGTTCACGCTCGCCTGGCTATGTCTGGCAGGTTCGTGTAGCTATTCGCCGCCGTTCTCCGTATCAGAGAAGACAACTCGAGCGACACAACTCTAGTCAGCTTTCCACAAAAGTAGACGATGGATTCAAAGGGGCTGTTTACACCTGGTCACTTCATGTGTCTTCTGTGATCGGATAGCTATTCGATCGTGAAAAGACCAGGGTGTAAATGCCCTCCGAAACGCATTCGAGACGGATTTGAATTCGATCGCTCAAACCACTTGAGGACGTGGTCTGTGCTGTATTCCAGACGAAACTGGACAAGTGTAAATGCATCTGGTTGTTGAAACCAAGCTATATGTCATGATATTTTAGTCATATATGAATGACGACGCGCATCACCTGAGCAGCTGAGCTGAGCCCCTTCATCAAGCGCCGCAATCTATCGCAAATCAAAGTGAATTAGTGAAAGTAAGTCGCAGACGCTTAACACTACCATCTTCATTAAAAGTAAAGAAATGAAATGATCTTACCAGTTCTGTTGCCGATCTCTCTTATTGCTGTCTTTGCTGATTTTGAAATTAGCCGATGATTAATAAAATCCAGCTCATATCTGTTGCTTTCGGTGACGTGCACTTCATTAAATCTGTATATGGCGCGGAAAGAGACCGGCTTGTAGCTCATTACAAACCCCAACGCAAACTCCACGTGAGACAGAAAATAAAACTTCTGTCTGTCCAGTGCCATGCGTCGGAATAAGACGAGAGTCAACATCGGGAAGCTTTCAACAAACGGAGAGATCTCCGGTCGTCTCTAGGGCTCAAACGGGTCATAGCCTATATACAAAGTGATAACTGAACGTGTTTCCATAATAATTCAATCATAAGTGGATACAGTAAGCACAGATAGATGGAAACAAAAACCGAAGTTTTCTACTACCCCCGTTTCCCCCTCTCACACAAGTGTGTAATTTACTCGAATGCCTTTCCTTTCATATATTTTAAATGACTTGCAGATTTATTACTGTATTACCTCATTATGACTGTAACAAAAGATGTGTGCCGCACAGTGTGCGGCTGATGCTCCTTAGTTATGAACAGCTCGTGCAAACGTGCGTATGTGTGTGTGTGTGTTCCTCCATGAACGCGCACAGCTCTGGTTGCAGTTTCGCTTGTCGCCAGAGGGGGCGTAGTTCTGCAAAAACTCAGAGACTTGCGTTTAGCTCCTTTAAGAAGTTATAATCAACCAGGAAGAGGACGTGCGTCTATTTTGCCTTAATGGACGGTGAGGATGAAAGTTTGAGTGTCCAAAGAAGACTCTTCAAGGATCACAGATGGAGAATTGCAGAGATTAGTTGAGTCTTGGGGTCAGAAAACCTAAAAAAAAAAAAAAAACTAAAAAACAAACAAAAAAAAAAAAATACAACCCCTACATCCCCACATGTTGTTTGAGAGGGTTTCAAGAAAAATGCTCCTCGCTCATCCAAAAACAAACTCCAGCATATTCAGGTGTCAGACACGACTGGATCTTCAAACGACACAGGGTTCTGTGGTCAGATGAAACTAAAAAAGGGGCTTTTTGGCAGCAAACCCAGCAGATGTGTTTGGTGCAAAAAGGGATGAAGAGTACCCCATGCCTACGGTTAAATATACTGCTGGATCTTATATGTTGTGGGCCTATTTATTTGCTGGAGGTCCTGGACATCTTGTTCAGATACATGGTATTATGGATTCTATCAAATACAAAAAGATAAAAAATAAAAACCTGACGCCTTCTGCTAGAAATCTTATAATGGGCCGTAGTTGGATCTTCCATCAGGACAACGATCCAAAACAAAAATCAAAAAATCAACATAAAAATTTGTTACGGAGCACAAAATTAAGCTTCTGCCATCTGTTATCTTGGCAAAAGTTTACAGATCTGAGGTTGCAAAAAGTTTTTAATAACAGGGTGCCAACAATTATGGCCAGAGTGTTTTGGAGAAAAACATTTATTTCATAGTGTGATTTACCCCCACTTTCAATTCTTTTGCTTCAATGAAAGGTTAGAATTTTGCCAATTTTTTGAATGGAAGATCAAAAGGATAAGCAATGCAGAATAATTTTTTACAGCCAGTTTTCATCATATTTACCAGGGGTCCCATTAATTTTGAGCACGACTGTGTGTATATATATATATATATATATATATAAAATACCAATCCAGATAATAGCTTCTAAAAAATGCCAAAAAGTGTGTCTAATAAATTCTATGTTGGACCAAATTGTTTAAATAATCTCTTGGGGGTAATTACTCAGCCAAATTTGATGTGATTAATTAATAGGCACATCATGTAATTAATTAGATTTAAAAAAAAAAAAAAGTTACCATTTACAGCCATAATAATAATAATAAAAATTATATAAAATTAAAATAGTTTATAAATATTTTATATAATTTTATAAAATTAAATGAAAACAAAAATAAATAAAAAGCAATAACATAAATTTGACAATGTCTATAGAGCGTCTCAGTTGACATGGAGGTGGAGTCAAATGCTTTTGCATTCACCCGCAAATCCTTTGTTCCCTCGCCCAAAAAAAAAAAAGTTATTCGCTTCCAAAACATTTGAATGTTTTGTGCGCAATATAATTTTTCCTCCCATTATTTCCACCACCACATCCCTTTAGAGGCTCTGTACATTTTTTCATTAATAAAATGCAATGCAACAACTCTCAAACCAACAATGCACTTTCTTTAAAAGAAAATGAAAAAAAAAAAGAAAATGGAAATACCTTAGATAATGCTATGCCCAGCAAACCTTCAAAAGCTTTTAGGTTCAACTGTGGTCCAGTGTAAAACGGATCAGACTGGGCCTTCCTCCCCAACCAGTATATAGTGATCAAAACCTGTTTATAGGGGGAGAGAGAGAGTGTGAGTGTTTTAAAATATGTTGTCCTCATTTGTGTGCTCAGATGAAAATTAACCTTTATACACTGAATTACTTTATACAGCTTATATCAGTTTTAACAACACGTTTTAACATGATACGAGTCTAAAGCAAAGCCTCTGAGAATTTAGTGTTGTGCATGCTTGCGTGTGACATGAATGAATGGCTTCTGTGTCCCAGTTTCATTTCTGTTCCCATCTAGAAAACTATAACCGTTTGTGCACACAAACATGGGGTGGCAAAAGGGTAGGAATGTGGCACACGTACAAGACAATGAAGACAACAGTGTGCTCTGTAGTGCCTGTTGGACCTCTAAGATCATTAGAACTATTCTAATAAGGAATCAAATACAAGAGCATTTTCAACATGTCAAATGTCTGTCTACGCATAATATTAACAATTTAATAAAGATGCACAGCAGATAGGTACCCCCAGTTCCAATATCTTACATGCATTATTGCCATCATTACCATCTTAAACAAATGAAGACACTTGTTAGTCAGAAATCCCTAATCCAAATAGTGCATGCAAAGCAGTATATGTGGCTTGAAATGTCCACTTTTAAATGATACTGCATTGAGAATACCGCAGGAGACTGTAATGAGATAAAATTACAAGTCAACTTGTTTGGTATGCAAAGGCCGCGTTCAGTCCATGTCAAACACAAGCCATGCATAGACACTTGGTTAATACCAAGCTTTGAATAAAAAAAAAAAAAAAAACTTACGTTTTTCAGTCTCCTGCACGTCTCTTCACGTCTAAGCAGAAGGAGAGAAGGAGGTTAATGCAATGAGTGTTCACTGTCAGACACATAGATCAGTTCCAGCTTACACTAACAGTACCGGCAACTAAATCCCCCCCCATACCCTCCAATAAAATTAAGTCATTGCTATAAATGGACCTCAACTACATACCGCGTAAGCTTTACTGTTAGTCACTAATCATGTACACTGATTTTTATTTACAATAACCATTATGTACAATGAAGACAATCAGCAAGTGTTCAAACGATCCTGTAACCTATCTGACATTGGAACATACTTGTTCCTACAGCGTGCTGACACTGGACATGTGAGCCATCTGTTTGTCACTATGGACTAGCAAACATGCATTTGCAGAGGAATGCACCCAAGCACCCGACGCTCATGACGCATGTGGCGTTATCTTAAAAATAAGTCAGACGAGCTATAAGAAACAGCACTTGATCTGAGGTTAGTAAGAGAAAGTGTTTGTTATTTCATTTAAGCCCTAAAACAACATGACCGCGAGAAAGCATGCAAGTTAAAAATAGCAGTCAAATCCATTATAGCTTCACCATAGCATTTGGTTTGAAGGGACAGTCGTTTAGGGCTAAATTTAGAGGTCGCCATACCTCATCTCCACCCTGTCTTGCCCCTCGTCCCTCCACAAGACCAATAGTGGGGACATGAAGCTCTCAGCAGGGTGGACGACAAGATTTATTGTTCAGGGCTAGGGTCAGGACCTTAAAAGTATTAGGCTGTGTGATGAAATGCACAGCTCAAGGGTTAGGAATTAAATTAGTTATTGGAAATACCTTTACTATCCCCATCCCTATTGTTGTTGTTTTTGTTTGTTTATTTGATTCGTGTTCTTTTGTGATGGCTGTGATGTACTTTAGGACCCCCTCGAAAACGAGATGTTGCATCTCAAGGGGTTTATCCTAATCAAATAAATTATTAGCAATACAAAAAGGTATTTAGAGCAGATGGGTGCCAGGGCCCCATGTCATGACTTAACAGTAAATTATCAATCGAATCTAAATACAAATTCAAATGATGAAAAAAATACCATCAAGATGTGAACTAAAACCTTATTTCTCCCATATAGAAGGCATTAGAATCAAAATGGATGAGAAGCACTGTGGCAGAGAGAGGACAAGAAAGAGAAGGAAGAGTTTTGAAACCCTTCTCTTCAACCACCTGCCATACAAAGACCTTTTTCACATTTCAATAAGCTCGATCGCAATTTAATCAGAAGTGAAATAAGCTATGAACATCTCATGTTGGTTGTAAAATTTACCAAAAAATGAAAATATGGCATTTACTCAGCCTCGTGTCATTCCAAAACCGAAAGACTTTAGATAATCCTCGAAATTTTGTATTCACATAAAGCGCATGACATTTGGTAAACTCGCACATCTTCCGTGTTCACGAAATGTAACGTGTTCGGTGTGCCAATCATTGTTTATATGGATATGATTGTAAAGATTTAATTTAGTCTTGTATTTACATCTTATGACACCTTTATGACCTTTTTGGATCTTTTAACTTTTAAATGGAAGAACTGAAATCTCTCAGGATTCATTAAAAATAATTTAATTTGTGATTGAAGTGTCTAGTTTTTGAAAAGACCCTAATTGAATAAGTGACAGAATTCCATTTTGGGTGAACTAACCATTTATTAGTGACAGATCAGTCAAACATCATGTCTGACTGTTCCACCATTTAAAGGGATACTCCACTTTTTTTTTGGAAATAGGCTCATTTTAAAACTCCCCCAGAGTTAAACATTTGAGTTTCACCGTTTTTTTTTTTAATCCATTCAGCCGATTTTCTGATATTTAGAATAATATCAGTAACCAGAGAGTTTCTGGTTTCATTGACTTCTATAGTAGGAAAAAATATACTATGGAAGTCAATGAGACCAGAAACTGTCTGGTTACTGATATTCTTCTAAATATCAGAAAATCGGCTGAATGGATTCGAAAACGGTAAAACTCTGGGGGAGTTGTGAAATAAGCCTATTTCCAAAAAAAAGTGGAGTATCCCTTTAAATGTCATCATTCAAAATACATTTTCATACAGCAGCTTGACTAAAACATGGGGCTTGGTTGGTCAGGTATGAAAGTTTGAGTTTGATATTGGACAGATAATGTGTGACAGGACTCATCCAGCCTTTCATTTGGTATGGAAATGTAATCAGACTGCAAACACTATTCAAATGAATCCTCTTCCTGCAATCACATGGAAGACTTACTTCCATGTCTTTATACTCACACAAACCACAAAGGCAGTAATAAAGTTTAAATACAGATAAGTTTCCATCAGATATTTAAGGATAATTTAATTATGCAAATAAAATGGAAGAGACATAAAAGGCACAGGCAGCAAATCCAGCCATCTCAGTTCATAACAGTTACAGGTCTTACATTGCAATGAAATGCAACAAACAAACCAGAAATAAGAATTTGCAGTTTCACTTCTCTCTGCTCACCTGACAGTCACACGTGTGGACACATCTTGCAGGTCTCCAGGATGGAAGAGCTGTGCTTCATTGAGCCCTAGTTTCTCACAAGCCTTGAGAAACACATTCACGTTATCCTGAAGAGAAACCAGCATTGACTATTGCAGATAGGGTAAACGAAAAGTTAAACGTCGTATAAAAAAAGAAGAAAAAAAAAAAAGAAAAGTTGAGATGCTACAAGGTAGGGAGAATTGACTGCTGAGAATTGACTAGTACAAGAGATGGACAAGTTGAACAGAAAAGGGGTGGGAACTGAAGGAGACCGTTGCCAGGTGCTGTCCAACACACTCACAGCATTTATAAATGGAAACCTCAAGACTCATGGAAAAAATGTCTTGGTATATGCACAATGTTAGACAAGTGTATCTGAATTGTTAGATGAAATTGTTTCATTGGAGACTAAATCTTAATTCTATAACTAAATAAATACATCTTTGATGTCATTTAAAATATGCTCACCAAGCCTGCAATTGGGGTGGACAGCCTGTTAAGTCGTTTGATGATGCCTGGCTTCAGTTTGTTGATCAGACTGAAAATAGATTGAATACAAATAAATAAATAAATAAACTGTATAAATGTGCTTAGTTTAGGTAAACCTTGAAAATGTGCAAAATAAACCATTGCTTTGTTCAAAGAAATAAAAATCATAGAAAAAGCACTTACTCGCACAGAAGGACTCCATCCTCTAAGGCCACTCGAAAGGTTTTGCTTCCAAAACGCTTGTTGGTAACTTCCTGTTAAAGAAAAAAAACCCAAACAGATCCCAGGCACAATTCAGGACTACATACAGTACGATGCATAGATGTTGAAACACAAATCATTTGTTTTGGCCAATAATCATTTTAAAATGCTAAGAATCAAATTAATCGTGATTAGAAATGAAAAATTAAATCCTGTAGCATTTTATTTTAAATGAAAGTAAGAAAGAATGGTAAATGGACTGCATTTATATAGCGCCTTCATAGACCTAATGGCCACCAAAGCGCTTTACATTTGCCTCACATTCACCCATTCATACACTGATTCGTACACCGACGACAACATACAAGAACCTCACATCATGCAGAAACTTACATCTAACAATGAAAAAAAAATTGCGCTTTTTGCCCCACTCAAGGAGGTCGCTGTGTAATTCACACCCTGACTAAAGACAGGCACCCACTTAACGACTGTAAGGACGATGACAAATGTAATTTGATACTTACGACTGATCACGCCCAAACGCACCGAGTCAGAGACAGTTGTTTAAAATCTGCTCCAGTCATTGGAAACAGTTCAGTCTCAGAATGTTTCAGCTGGTCATTAAGTTTGTCCCCAGTGACACAATGGGAGAAGCATTTAAGCAATCTTATAAATGCACTTAAATGTAGTATCGAATCGTTAATCGAATCACATTCAATTTGATTGTGAATCGCCTTGAATCGAATTGTTCTAAATTTGCTAAAACTTATTAAAGGAGTAAGTAGTTCACTTTAAAAAAAAAAAAACTTTTTCTGATAAATTACTCACCCCCATGTCATCCAAGATATCCATGTCATTCTTTCTTCAGTCGAAAAGAAATTAAGGTTTTTGATGAAAACATTCCAGGATTTTTCTACATATAACGGACTTCAATGAGAACGGTTAAAGGTCCAAAAGACCTTTCAGTGCAAACTGCAAACTGTTCAAAGGGCTTTGAATGATTTCAGACGATGAATAAGGGTCTTATCAAGCGAAACGATCACTCGTTTAAAAAAAAAAAAAAAAGTTTGTTTATAAGCTCAAATGGTCACCTTGCTCTGTTCTGTGATGCGCGTTCGTGACTCTCCTGTTCAAACTCGTTCATCAAAATGAACAAATCTTTTCCCGAGTCAACTCGTTCATTTCGTTCGTTAAATGAACCAAATGACACGAAAAAAAGATTCTCATTTTGATGAACGAGTTTGAACAGGAGAGTCACGAACACGCATCACAGAACAGAGCAAGGCGACCATTTGAGCTTATAAAACTTAAACTTTGTTGTTTTTTTTTTTGTTTTTTTTTAAATGAGCGATCATTTCGCTTGATAAGGCCCTTATTCATGCCCTGAAACTGTCTTTTGGACCTTGAACCGTTTGGTTTCCGTTGAAGTCTAATATATGGAGAAAATCCTGGAATGTTTTCATTAATTTCTTTTCAACTGAAGAAAGAATGACATGGATATCTTGGATGACATGGGGGTGAGTAAATTATCAGCAAAAGTTTTTTTTTTTTTTAAAGTGAACAACTACTTTAAGTGAATTTGCCGTCTACCCAAAAATTCACAGCCATAACACACACACTTCCTAAATCTGTCAATTTAAGGGGAACAAATACATAAAACATTAATATTGTGAAACACAACAAAAATGTAAAATTATTGTCAAATAGATGCTGGGCATAAAGGTCAATTCACACCACACCAACCAACATAGTTAATCACCATATATATATATATATATATATATATATATATGGTGCATGTCCGCTGACAGCTAACTACAGGCCCTCTCAAAAACACAATGCTATTTTCACTCCAACCAAATATATTCCAACCAGAGTATGGTCTTCACTCATCACATGCAATACAATAGTGCTGCCATTAAGCTAGAAAAACAAACTGTAAGCAAATTCAACAAGACCTATGATTTACAAGATTAGAAGAAAAAGACCACCACGACAGCTAACCTTTCTGTGCACCATGACTGCAACATCATGGTCACAAAACAATCCATGCCATCACTGCCTTAAAGTTGGCAGCTCTGTAACCAAAACCACTTTCATTTCGTGTTGTATTTGTTCCATTTAAATTGGTCTGACCAGCCACACATCTAGTAAATGTGCACTCCAACAGGGCCTCAGACCCTCCCACACAGTGCATCAATTTTGGAGACTGAGGTGCCCAAGCAAGCAGGCTCCAGACTGTACAAGTAATGTGGAGGAGTGGGCATTTGGCACACAGAATGTTGCAAACAGCTCAGGGGTCCTTTGTGTTCAGAATCAGATTGAGATGCACTGAAGCATCCATGCTTGCCCTGGTGCCAGCCCAATTCTGCATCCTGATCATCAGCGTGTTTGGACACATGGAATGTACTCCATCAATAGCTGCTTGTGTAAGGTCTACATCAAATGAGAATTGAGAGAGCCAAAGCAGAACCTGTAAGATCTAACAACTACTCAACAATATTCTATCCCAGTTTATACATATGCAAGTATATTTAATAATGTAGAGAAGCATTAGTTTCCTAAATTTACGTTTAAAACGCATGCAACAAAAATAAAAAAGCACCAGCATTCTAGATGGCAGAGGAGCGGAGCTGCAGGTTTTCAGGAAATGGTGGTTAGATCTCAGAGGTGAGACTTCAATGCAGGCTATTGAAAACATGAACACATTCCCCATGCAAAGCTAAGCACCAACAACAAATTACCTATACACTACCATGTTTTCTGGACGTACACTGTCCCATTCAAAAGTTTCTGTCACTGTTTGTGTACGATTTTTTTATTTATTTTTTTGTATTTACAACTTTTATTTAGTAAGAGAATGCATTCAATTGATTACTAGTGACATTTGTAAAGACTTTTGACATTGCAACAAATATATATATATATATATAAAGCTCTTTGAATGCTCTATTCATAAAGCTATCCTGAAAAAATGCATCACTGTTTCCATAAAAAATAAGTAGCAAAACTTTAATATTTTTAACAAGAAACGTTTCTTGAGCATCAAATCAGATTTCTAAATGTGACACTGGAGGAATGATGCTGAAAATTCAGCTGTGCCATCACAGGAATATTTTATAGTAGTATTAGATTTTATACACATTCGTATATACACACACACTAACCTAAAGGATTATTAGGAACATCATAATAATACTGCGTTTGACCCCCTTTCGCCTTCAGAACGGCCTTAATTCCACATGGCGTTGAGTCAACAAGGTTCTAAAAGCATTCTTTAGAAATGTTGGCCCATATTGATAGGATAGCATCTTGCAGTTGATGGAGATTTGTGGGATGCACATCCAGGGCACGAAGCTCCCAATCCACCACATCCCAAAGATGCTCTAATGGGTTGAGATGTGGTGTTTGTGGGGGCCATTTTAGTACAGTGAACTCATTGTCATGTTCAAGAAACCAATCTGAAATGATTCGAGCTTTGTGACATGATGCATTATCCTGCTGGAAGTAGCCATCAGAGGATGGGTACATGGTGGCCATAAAGGCACGGACATGGTCAGAAACAATGCTCATGTAGGCTGTGGCATTTAAACAATGCCGAATTGGCACTAAGTGGCCTAAAGTGTGCTAAGAAAACATCCCCCACACCATTACACCACCACCACCAGCCTGCACAGTGGTAACAAGGCATGATGGATCCATGTTCTCATTCTGTTTACGCCAAATTCTGAGTCTACCATCTGAATGTCTCAACAGACATCGAGACTCATCAGACCAGGCAAAATTTTTCCAGTCTTCAACTGTCCAATTTTTGGCGAGCTCCTGCAAACTGTAGCCTCTCTTTCCTATTTGTAGTGGAGATGAGTCGTACCCAGTGGGGTCTTCTGCTGTAGCCCATCCGCCTCAAGGTTGTGCGTGTTGTGGCTTCACAAATGCTTTGCCGCATACCTCGGTTGTAACGAGTGCTTATTTCAGTCAAAGTTGCTCTTCTATCAGCTTGAATCAGTCGGCCCATTCTCCTCTGACCTCTAGCATCAACAAGGCTTTTTCGCCCACAGGACTGCTGCATACAGGATGTTTTATAAACCCTAGAAATGGTTGTGCGTGAAAATCCCAGTAACTGAGCAGATTGTGAAATACTCAGACCGGCCCGTCTGGTACCAACAACCATGCCACGCTCAAAATGAACTTAAATCACCTTTCTTTCCCATTCTGACATTCAGTTTGGAGTTAAGGAAGTTGTCTTGCCCAGGACAACGGAGACAGAGATGTATACACACACAGAGTTATATTAATTTGTAATTATGTATAATATATATACATATATATATATATATATATATATATATATATATATGAAGAGTTCAGATGCAAAAGCCTCTAAATGCCATTTGAAATTTTCTTCTAAAATGACCATTTTTATCAAGCTTGTATATTTATGTTCAGTAATTTCACTTAAATGACAATTAATAGGTAATCTTCATTGCCTTTTAAGTGAAATTACTTAACTTAAATATGTATATATATATGAAGAGTTCAGATGCAAAAGCCTCTAAATGCCATTTGAAATTTTCTTCTTTAATGATGATTTTTGTCAAGCTTGTATATTTAAGTTCAGTGATTTCACTTAAATGGCAATGATAATTACCTATTAATTGTTATTTAAGTGAAATTACTGAACTTAAATATACAAGTTCGACAAAAATCATCATTAAAGAAGAAAATTTCAAATGGCATTTAGAGGCTTTTGCATCTGAACTCTTCATATATATATATATATATATATATATATATATATATATATAAACAATTCCCATCCCAAACTTTTGAATAATAGTGTACTTACACAAATGGGAAAAAAAACTATTTCTTTAAAGTTTCATATAAATACCAAAGTACTTAAATGTATATTATGGAATTAAATAAAAACTTCATTATAAGGACACCATGGTACACATTTTATTGCTCAAAATGACTTTAAGCATTTTATTGCTTAAAGTCTTGCTGTGAACTAATAAAACCACCATGATGAAAAACAAACAAAGGATTACATCATTATTCAAAACAATCAATAGTTGAATAAAAGACACATTGTATCTAGGATTTTATGGAGCTGATGGCACTAGCTACTTTGCAAATGGTTCACAACTGATAAATTAAGACAACCACAAATGGTAAAGGTTGTATAAAGCTGCTTTAAAAACATGATGAATGTTATCTTGTCTAGTTTCTATTTAATTCCTAATAAATAACATTCAGGAAATGTACATTCTTTGCGTTCTGAAAAAAATGGCTGTGTAATAAAAACCAAGGGGTAAAGCTAATATCTGTCAGGTAAAATTGACTAATTGTTTACACATTAATAGCACTGGGGTTATAGTCAATCTTCTCAACAGAACATGAGCATGAAAAGACCTACAGCCAGCAGTACATTAGATGATGTCATTACCTCAAGCCATCTTTGTGCCTCCTCGAACGCAAGCTCACAGCTGACTGCAGACTGCTGACGCCACTCCATCCCCGCTCCCAATTCCACCTGTGTGTGTTTCACAATCAAAACTCATTTCAACACATTCACACCCAGATTATATGCAAGGACACAAAAATATTCATCCATAGAAATACCAATATTTACATTTATAATATGTAATCTTTATATAAGTGTATATAAATAATACATTAAAAAAGATAAACAAGTGTCAAGTTATTTCTATTTTACTACAACACACATTGTTTCTGAAAAGACATTAAAGATAGTTCAGGTTGACTTAAAAAAAGTGATTTGAAATGCTATATATATATATATATATATATATATATATATATATATATATGTATATACTTCCTATATATATATGAAGCATATAAAGCTATAAAACATTATTAATATTAACTGTAAACATGTAAAAGGGTTATACATCAATTTTGATACAAATGGTGTAGGACAATTATAACGGAAATCACATTAGCAGGTTTGCAATATAATACAAATCATCAGAAAAATCTATAAAAACCCGATATTATAACTTTTTAACATTACCACTACAATTTAACTTTAACAGTCTAACTAAATATTGATGTAGTGTGTAATCTTCAAGAGGTAATCTTCAAACACACCAGAGAAAAGTGACTCTGAACGGGTTAAAATTAATTTCCATCACCAACTTCCAGGTTAGCAACCCCAAAATATGGTATGACTCATAATGCCACTGTGCACCTGTGGCACCCTGCAAGAATCCCCATCCCAAACTTACCAGCAAGCCCCTGTTTTAATTTTGTTTTGTAATTTCCTGAAACTACTCTTAAAATTTCACTTCCCAGATGTCGACTCGAAAGCGCAAGGTGTTTTCCCCGCTACCCGCGCGCGTGCCTCCAACACAACTCTTTTAATCTGTTGCAAACATTCCGCTACAATTTGACACCTTGAACGCCCAGCAGCTCTACTACCACCGAACTTGCTTGTTGCAAGCAGGAACAGAAATGTCGCCGTTCAGTGAATACAGGGGCGATAAGTGCACAGGACAGCTGCGTGTTTGCAGAGGCAAATGATTATGATGAGTTGTTTAAATATATGCCACGCCCCCTTCTGTCTCTTGATAAGAAGTGATGTTTCGCGAGTTGTGTCAACAACAACCAGCAGATGGCGACGAATAATCACTCCAACAACGTTGAACGCTATGAGGGCCATTTGCGCTTGAATGGTAACATTTTTATATTAAAAAGAGCGCTTAATATGCTGTGTTTTATGCTAACACAGTCAAGGGTATTCAATTAAATTATTTTAAGGCCTTAAATTATTTTAATGTTAGTTTTTTTTTTAAATAAAATTGACTGAAGAACACGCTAATAAATATGTTTTGATAGACTTTACAATGGAAATCATAGCTTTTTACCATTATAGATTATTTGGATATGAACACTGGGGCTGATTTATGTTTGGGGAACATTAGTCTAGCTAGCTAATATGATGTAGGCCCATGTCAAAGGCTTGGCTTGATAATTAAAAAACAGTTACTTTGGGTTGACAGTTTGTCCCTCACATTACATTACAGTAAAATAAAAAAAAAAACATTTTAAATGTAAACGTATGTCTAACAAATCATTAATAATAAGTACTGCAAAATTCCATTTAAAACATGTGTCCATTTTGATTTCATGGTGACTTTAACAGCATGTTAGGTCTGGATATTGACATATTATTTATATATATATATTTTATATTTTGTTTTAATTTGGTATTTTTAGCGGATTTGTGGAACTAAATTAAATTTTTATGCAGTAGTTACACTTAGGCTAACTGTCAGCGTTCCACAGGTGGGACGCTTGCCATTATATTTTTAAAACAATATCTTAGACAAGACCTTAAGTAATATTGACAAGCTATATATCATTTAAAAGCTTACAATCTCTTGTTTCCATATTTGGTGACTGATTTTCAAAATAATTTACACAGGAGCCGTAATTTATCAATTTGCAACAAGAATATTTTCTTACTCATAAAGCGTGTTCAGACCTTTATTTTGAAATAGCAATGAACATGAAAAATCATGAAAAAAAGTTAGAAACTTCAGTTTGATTTCATGACAATAGTTCAAAAGATAGCATCCATTCATTTATTTCAGAAAATAAAGTCTTAAAATGTTTTAAATATTACGAAAAAAATAATACATTTTTGTTATGGCCACAAGCTATAATGCGCATGCGTGTTCTTTGTATGCGATTCCTAGAGGTTGAATTCATATCAAATCTGCTAAACTTCCCATACTACTTCTGAATAGGATTTCTACTTCATAAATTGTGTGAAATTTGTGAAAATAATGATTCAGATCACTCAAAACACATATGGAAATGGAGGCGCCCTTATATGGGCTGTAATGGAGTCTGAAAATCTCACCGAACGCTAATTTTTTGAGATATCAACCTAAAATTTGAAACACAACTTGTTCAGATTTTTGTCTTTGATATTTCTGCAGTTTTAGAGTAGCCCAGGTTTTGAAAATATATATTTTATATAAAATATGAATAACATTTTTTTTTTTTGTTTTACATTGTACATTTCTAAAAACTCAAACTTCAATAACTTTTTTTCTGTTTCACTTTCTTAATTTATTTCACTTCGGGAAAAATCTCTTCTTTAAAACGAGACCAATCATACGTCTATATTCCAAAGCATTCTTGAATTACAACCATTTAAGTTTGAAATGAGCATTTCCATGTCTATTCAAAAAAGGGGGGTGACAGTTAAGAGGTAAAAAAAAAAAAAAAAAACATGTAGGTATTCACTTTTTGAGCATTGACCTGAAAATGACATTTCCAACTTAAACTGTCATAAATCTTTTTGCTTTGAATGCTTTAGAGCACAGACTTAAGTTTGGTCTCTTTTTAAAGACAACACCAGGCAGATTATTGCTAAAGTGAAAAAAGTTGTAAAAAATGAACTTTCAAAAAAGTTGTAGAATTTAACATTTATTGTTTTTAAAACTATAAAATACTACTTTGAATATTTATTTGAAATGTATATTTTCCAAAGCATGTTTTACTCTTAAAAAAAATTAAAAATTAAAAAATCAAAGGCATAACATGTGGTGTTTAAACCAATTCAATGCAGTTATTTTTGGAGTGTGTGTGTGTGGGGACATTTACTGTGAGGTGGACGATGACGCAATTTTCTTCTATAGAAACAAACTTTGTTGTATTATTTTCATGTTATCACTGTGAAGCTGCTTTGATACAATTTGTACTGTAAAAAGTGCTGTGTAAATAAAAAAAAAAAAAAATAAAGGTGACATGACTTGACGACTTGTGTGAGTGTTTGAGTGTGTGTTCGCATAGCAAGTGCCAAAACCTTTACCAGGTTCCATACCATTATAAGAAAAATGTTTAAAATAAAGAATTTTCAGTCAAAATTTATTGAAAAGCACCAGAGGGTTAACTCACAGATGAGGTATGAATATCATATTGCAATAGATGAATTATATCTATTGCATCTACTGTATATTATATTGCAATATAATTATTATTATTCGAAAACAGTGTCTAAGGATTATTCAAGACATGATAAACCAGAAGTAGGGTGAGATGCAAGAGTGAGAGGTGCTTTCAACAGCTGGAACTAAAACAGGAAGTTCTTCATCCAGCGACAGGAAGTGTTAACCAAAGCTGGAGCAATGTACACGCCTGTCTGCCCACTGGTTTCCTGTGTGACTAGTCTGCTGTCAGACACACAACACTTTATCACACTATTGTTGTCATCTGATGAACCCAAAGACAGCAGTATAGGTTTTAAAGCATGCTGACAGCTCTGTTGATCTATGAGGTATTTATTGAAATGAGAAAAAAATAAGTGGGCTAATGAAATCTTAAATGCACTTTTGTGTGTGCTGTACTGTAGGCTATACAGGTATATTAAATGTTCTATAATAAAGGAAGATATGGGTCTCTAATTGTCAAAAATGATCTATTGTAACTTGACCTTGTTAATCATTTCCGTTGACATGTTCCACAACTCATGCTCTTGCAAGTTTCTTCTGTGTGAAAGGCTATATATATATATATATATAGCTAGACTTTCTGACTTGCAAAGTGAACTGAAATGTGCATCCAATTGACACTTTATCATCTCATTTTTTCATTTTTTTTTTGTCTCATTTCAACAGCCACATGATGAAAGATCAGAGATAATATTTTGAGAATGTCTTCCCATTACTTCTAACAGTGAAAGCACTATGTGAAGACACCTGACAGAGGCCTGACTGGTAATGTATGGAACATGCACATTCAGACTAAAAGTTGAATAAAAGTAGTATAAAATCTGAGGATTTTCACAGTGGGTACACCTATCTGGTTTTTGAAGTTAGTTTAAGCACAACCAACAGAGCAGAGTTTAAGTAAACATGTTAGAAGAAATTTTAGCAAGTAAAAGTAGTTCTAATAATCTTTCGCACATCCATCGGCCCAGAATTCTATTCCATTCTGATCTTGAAATGTGTGTTTTTGATTTTAAATCTTGGTTTCTAAAGCCACTGGATGGAATGAACTAAACTAAAAACATACAAAGTAAATTTGTTTACAGTTTGGAGTGACCATGAGATTGACCACATATATTAGAGGTGATGTTATTTCTCTTGTTCAAACTCTTACTTACTGGATATATGTTGGACATTATGACAAAGTGTACCAGAAATGAATAGATAAATGAATGTTGGTTTGGCAAGGAACATTTGCAAGAAAGGCATTTTCTTTCAGTCAACAATGAAGTTTGGTTCTAAAACAAACATCTAACCAGAGCCAGTGAAACAATTCACAAAGGTTGCTGAGAGGAGAAGTTTTTCTCTTCTCATCTTATCTTTTTCTTATCTTTAAGGGATCGTTTTTATTGTTTTCAGATATAATGGATTGAAACCTGTCTGAAAGTCTGAAATATCATCTTCTTGTAGAAATATTGTTTTTTGAACAATGATTCTTTTTTTTTTCTGTAGTCCCCCCTCTGCAATGCCTCATTTAGACTTGCTGTAGTATATATATATATATATAGTGTGTGTGTGTGCTTCTTTTGTCCCTGCCCACTGACTAGTGGTCTATTTCACCTAAAGCTGAACAGCTGGAACAGTAGTACAGTTCCCTGAACACTGTAGCTTTGTCCTGGTCTGCCATTGCCCAGAAGACACATGAGAAGAGGGATAGTGGGCGCCCAGATGTGTTGGTCCAGCCAAGGGCACATTTAACTCATGTTCACATCTTAAACCACAACCATCCATACCCACACCCATTACAAGGTTCAGCAAATATTTGATGACAAATTCCAACTGTTTGAATCAGAACTAACAAAAATGGTTACATCATCCTTTTTTGCACAACAATTTATTGAATACACTCTAAAAAATGCTGGGTTGTTTCAACCCAAATATGGACAAACCCAATTGGGTTAAAAAAAAAAAAAAGTAATTAAAAATGTACAGTTGAAAGTGAGAGTTGAAGTTGGGTTAAAATTTTTAACCCAATTTTTTTTTTTTTTTGGGTATGTCCATATCTAACCCACATTTGGGTTAAAACAACCCAGCATTGTTTAGAGTGTAGATTTTTAAATGTAACAAAATAAGGGGTACGTTTGTGCTCAGATGATGTGGGATAGAAGGTTGCTATAATGTTCTTCTATGGTCTGCTATGATGTTCCATCCCAATGTGTCATATAACTGACGTCTTGGGACGTCTTTTGACCATACGTCAACATCTGTCTTTCTAGGGTACCCTTAAACGTCGGTTAGATGACGTTATCGGATCCTAACCCTAACCCTACCCCAGACCTAAACCTACCCCTAAACCTACCCCGTCACCTAACTGACGTTAAAGGTAAAGCGTCAGTTGTATGACGGCCCGGGATCGTCAACTTAACGACGTTTAAGGGTACGCTAAAAAGGCGGATGTTGATGTATGGTCAAAAGACGTCCCAAGAAGTCAGTATATGACAACTTGGGATGAGACTGTGTTAGATGTTCAGTTCATGGTCTATGTCAGTGGATCTGAACCAGGGACCGAAGCCCACTAGGAAGCATCAACAAACTTCCAAGAGGGTGTCAAGATGACTTAAATGAAAGTTTATTTAAAATAAGATAAAGGCTAGTATTAAATTAAGTCAAAATTACTAAAAACTAAACATTTCTTATTTTACTCTCCCACTTCAACATACCTATATAACACAAAAACTGTAAAAGTTATGGGGCCTTTGAATATTGTTATGAACAATGGGGAATCTTAGAATTAAAAAAGGTTGATTGCTAGTTGGTTGTGTCACAGTCTTCGTCTGCACCATACTGTCTTCGTCCTCACTTCACTTCCCAGAATTCCTCGTGTCTCCACATCTGAACTCACTCCCTCATTACCCACCTGTCCATTGTCATTGTCCTGTGTGTCGAAACCATAGAAAACAACAATGGCAGCTGTAACATTCAGAGTATATCAGTAAACGTGCATGTTCTGTTGACGTCATTACGTATGGATATACGTATAGCCCAGCAATAGTGGTATTTTATGTGCGTTGTTTGGTTAGTCTACAAATAAACAGACCGAACGTTACAGTGCATTTATTGCTGGGCAATGTATATCGCATTTCTGAAAATGGTTCTGAGTAGGCATTTAACTGAGTTATTACACTGAAGCAATCTGTAGAGTTTTGTTTTGACCACAGACCAAGTGAATGTTTAGGTCTTGATTAACTAAAAGTGGAAACAACATAACTGAGTTCATTAGTTAAAAAAAAAAGAAGTGATGTCACATTCAGAGTATATCAGCAAACGTGCCTGTACTCTTGACGTCATTACGTTAGTATGGATATACGTAGCCCAGCAATAAACGCACTGTATGCAACGTTCGGTCTGATTATTTGTAGACTAACCAAACAACGCACATAAAATACCACAGCAGCCCCTACGGATATAGTGTTTCTGTAGGTGGTACACAGTGAGAATACACTTTTGGATAATCTACGTTAACTAGTTTTCAATCCATTGAGTGCAAGGATAAAATACATTTCCAAATATACAAATAAAGTCAAATAAAAGGTAGCCTATAACAGATTATCTTGGCTTATGCGCTGTTTTTCCTTCTCAGTTTCCCACAAATAAACAAGGAGTAACCACCTTTGGCGACAGAAATGATTACAAATGCACATGGTCCGCCATGCTGGTTTGTTTACATCTAGCTATACCACAATTCCTTGCGCTCAGGTAGTTTGGCGTGACTGGCCTGGAATGCTACAAAGTCGTGGTTTGAAGTCTTGATTTACGTGCTCAAAAACCTGCCTGGAACGCAGCATTAGTTCCTTCAGTTAAGTCAGTCCTTTGTCTGTAGTTAGTCATGTTTAGCGTGTGTTATCCTGCCTGTACCTGCCTGGAAGTTTCTTTGTAAGTAAAAGAAATTGCATTGTAGCTCTTGCCTATTTGTCTTCTTCTGCCTGCTCCACCCTGTGACAGGTTGCTTATTGGCTTTGTTCAAAGGAGCCTATCCTAAAGTCTTAATGATCGCAGCTAACAATTGAATTAGTTCCCAAATACAATCAATTGGGAACCTTATGATAAGAGGAGCATTTTGTGTTTTCTGGGATAGGACCAGAGATTGTAAGCAAATGTATGTCCTATCCTATGTAATACTGCAAAGTGATTAAAAATGTCTGAGGTGATTAAAAAGTACCCAATAACAAGTCCTGACAAGACATGTGGAACATAACAACATGACTCTCCTGATATTTAACTTTACTTTGAGTTGTAGAAAAGAATTGCGTAGTGAGTGACATCATTGATTGGCGTAAGGAATCAGATAATCGTTTTTTTTTTTGTTCGTTTGTTTTTTGAGCCAGTTCATTAAAATGAATTGTTGTAATTGTCTTTTTTCTATTACCCTTGATATATGTTTCCTTGTTCCCCATGTTTCATGTTCTTTGTAGGTTGTTGTCCTCAAAACAAAAATAATAATAATAATAATCTTAAACATCTTATTTATTTTTTAATAATTAAACCTGGCCCTAGCCATGAACATAGCCATATAAGCTGGAGTGGCTATGAAAAAAAGGGGCGAAAAAGATCCTCACCTTCTCCTGCATTTCTTGGTCCCATTTTATGACATGTGTAGAGTGCTATATGAGGTTCCACCATAATGGTTAGGGGGTACTGTCTTCAAAGGAGTGAGTCAGCCCACTAGATTTTGGAACACAGCTATAACGAGTCTTGTATTAGCAAGCACAAATAATTAAAATGTCCTGGCCAAGCAATTTTCAGTGCAATAAATTCAAATCTCCGTTGAACAATATAGTGAGGTCATCTTGTGTGTGTGTGCTACCATATAATGTGTTCTCAACAGGACCAAAAGAGGGTGATAGAGTGAGAAGTTGCTATGGTGATGCCTTGTGGTGTCAGAGGAGTGAGAACAAACTGATGTGTCAGATGGAGGAGAGTTCACTTAACACACCAACTGATTAACTTCTGATATCTGTAATAAGAGAGACAATTTTGATATCATTTGTAATCTCACTCTTGAGTCAATATATAGCCAGTGAGGCACTCTGATGGGACTAGAAGAGTAGTGAGGCAGAAGAGAAGAGTATTGAGGCAGGTGTTAGGCTGAGGCTGGTCAGGCAGAAGCATTGCAGTTTGTGGTGAAGCAGCGGAAGGCAGTCGGCAGTCTGTTCACAGTAGCATTATGAAGGCATGCTGCAGAGAGAAAACATGCAGCCATGTGGTTGTACAGCTATAAAGCATGGGCTGCATGTCAGAGCACCCATGAGTCAGTGACAGTTTGCTGCTGTCATTTGTTGAATGGTCAGTACGTATGAGGCATCAGTGGAACAATGACTATTCATGCTAATGAAGCAATTCTATAGTTTAAGCCAAATTTTAAATAACTGACATAATCTTAAATATTTTTCCTTTGTGTTTCACAGAAGTACACTGTAAAAAATATATAATCAATAAATAATGATATTGTATGATTTTTTTGCTTTACCTCATAACAAAATAAGTTAAGCAATTTGTCCGCTTTCGGGTTGAGCTTTCCGCGAAAGCGCAACTGGGGTAGCCTAGCTATGGGTTGCCAAGTTGTGATGACAAACGGGTTGAAATTGTATATGGTGTGTGTGGACTGTGTGAATATAATGCATTTAATACAACATCTGGCAACTGGTCAACATTAGACACACATATTGGTCCGACTATTCATAAAGGAGTTTGGGCCATGCAAATTACTGGAGTTTCCCGGGAGAAATAAT